CACACACACACACACACACACACACACAGGCTACAGCTGCAATTTACTTGTTAAAAGTATTTCTATACATGAACAGGCAAGTGACTTACCTTGACCCTGAGGGTGTTCTTGTATAACTTTGGAGGTAAATTTGCAATTTCCACAAGATTAAATCTAAGGTGAGTAATATAATGTCATGACTACAGGTCATGCCATCTCCGATTCCCTAGGATTTTAGAAAAGCTGTGCATGCACATCTCTTTAGTGTAGCTTTTTCAGGTACCTAGCTTTCTCATGTTTATCTTTTCCCCCAGTTTTCTTGTTCCTTACTGTTTTAAGGAACTATTACTTTAAATTTGTGTTCTACCTCAACAGCTTCAACATATTTTTTTTTCCTTAAGGCTGTACTGGCAGATTACATATGATAGGGCAGATATTGTCAACAAAACAGAAACAGTTGTTAAAGAAATTGTTATTGTTATTAAGAACTTTATCCTTAACAGCAATGAGTTTGTACTAGATAAGACTGACGTAGTTTTGCCACTGTAGAAAGCAAGGGGGCATTTGTCCTTATGGCTAAAATTTGATCTTTTATTATTGCTTAAGCATTAATCAAGGACAAAAGAAAAAAAGATAATAGAAGAATAATTTAATAATAGATTGGATCTCACTTATGATTACTGTAAAAAACAATTTCTTGCTTCCAGAAAGACAATACAGTTTTTCTCTGTTATTAATCCAGTGATCATTTCATTTATTTATGTTTCCCATTTTCTTATTTCTGATGGAATATTAAATTGTGTATATTAAAAATAACAACAAAATCAGAGCAAAATTATGTACCAGCAAGTCATCTCTGACTTACAGTGATGCCTATAAGTGAAAGTCTTTCACAGTGCCATGTCCATGACAGCTCTTCCAAGCCACAGGCTGCACTTTCCTTTACGGAGTTAATCTGTCTCTTAGTTGGCATTTCCCTTCTTTAATCCCCTTCCACTTTCCCTCACATGATTGTCTTGCCAGTGACTCTTTTCATGATGTGCCCAAAGTATGGCGGTTCCCGTTTCGTCATTTTCTCTTCTTGGGAAAGCTCTGCTTTGATTCCATTTAGGACACACTTGTTCGTCTTTCTGTCAGTGCAGGATATTTGCCAAGCTCTTCTCCAGCACCATGTTTCAGATGCATCAATTCTCTTCCTCTCAGCTTTCTTCACTGTCCAGTGGTGTGCATGATCTTAGCCTTGGTCTCCAGTGAAACATCCTTACATTTGATGATCTTTTCTATTTCCTTCACTGCAAGTCCCAGTCTTCTTACAATTTCTTGGCTGGAGTCTCCCTTTGAACTGATGCCCAAGCCACAGGATACAGAATCTTTCACAATTTTGAATTCTGCGGGGTTGACGGTAAAGTTCTGCAATTCTTCTGTAGTTGTGTTCTTTATTTATGTATTAGATTTACATCCCACCTTTTTCTTTTTTAAATAATGCAAGGTGGCTTACGCCATTGTCCTCCTCCTGCGCTCAGTCTTATCCCCACAACAACAGCCCTGTGCAGGAGGGTGGGCTAAGAGTCTATGACTGGCCCAAAGCCACTCAGTTGGCTTCAGGGCTGAGCAGGGCCCAGGTTGCCTGAGCCCCAGACCTGCGCTCTGAACCACTATACCACACTGCCTCTTGTTTTCTTAATATTCAGCTGCAGTCCTGCTTTTGCATTTTCTTCTTTCACTCTCATCAGGAATCATTTCAACTCATTGCTGCTTTCTGCCAGTGAGGTGCAATCATCTGCTTGTCTAAATTACTGATGTGTCTTCCACCAATTTTCAGTGCTTCCCTTGATCTTAAACCAGCTTTCCTTATGATATGTTCTGTGTACAGATGGAATAGATAAGGAGAAAAAAGGTACCCCATCTGACGTCATTGCCTATAGGAAACCATTCTATTTCTCCATATTTTGTCTTCTCGGTAGCTTTTTGTCCACAATACCATTATGCATCAGGACAATCAAGGGCTAAGACACACCTGTTTCTTCCAGAACCATCCATAGTTTCTTGTCGTCCACCCAGTTGCTGTAGTCTATAAAGCACAGACTGACCCTTTTTCTGAAATTCTTTGGTGAGCTAAATTCAGCTAAGAATTCTTGTTAGGCAACAGCAGCACTAAACAGTAACTTGGCTTGGAATTCTGCAGCTTTTCTGAGAAAGAGGTGCAGGTTTGATTTTATAACACAAAGGCACATATTAGCCACCTTTTCCTACTAGGATTTATTCTGGATTTCCCCAACACTTGCAAGCCAGCAGAACCCCCTACTTGTAGAGAGTGGGCCAGTCCCTAACTCTTTGCAGGCTCTACAGTGGGAGTCATCCTCAGGATCTGATGTGGAGGAGGAGGAGGAGGAGGAAGGACAAGAGCAAGTGGGGGGCTGAACCCTCTGAAGCACCTTCAAGGTTGCTTAGTAAAGTTCTCTCACATTGAGCTCAAGAGTCAGTTTTGGAAGCGACCAAAGGGTCTTCAGAAGGGCAAGGAGAGCATTTGCAAGGATCCAGTTTTGACCCAGTAAGGAGTCCTCAAGAGAAGCTTTTCAAGGGCAAGAACCCCGGAGGGTGGAGCCAGCGGCCTTACTGAAAGGGAGGGCCTGTGGGGAAGCCCCCAATTTGGATTCACCTTTCAACATGGGCAGAGGCTTCTCCTTCCAGCTTAGGTAAAAGGCTGTTTAGAGTTAAACAGCTCTGCCAAGTGTGGGGTTGCAAGAAAAGGACTGCATTTCAAAAGATTGTCTTGATTTTTAGAAGTCAAAGGAGCAAAGGAAAAGGAAAGTTCAGGACACGGCAGCTCTTTGCGATCGTGATCCTGACCATGAATGACAGCTTCTCCATCATTGCCAGAATGGCAATTTGGAGTGCCACTCCAAGTTCTTCACCTGTTTTTTTTCCAGCCCTGGAAAAGAATGCAAATGTGCTTGCAATTTTTAAAATTTTATACAGTTTCTTGTGTATTTCAACTGTAAAAGAGAGCAATGCAGTGGGGTAGGTGTTGTTGTTGTTATCACGAAGTCGTGTCCGACCCATCGTGACCCCATGGACCACATTCCTCCAGGCCTGCCTGTCCTCCACCATCCCCCGGAGCCCACCTAAATTCACGCCAACTGCTTCAGTGACTCCATCCAGCCACCTCATCCTCTGCCGTCTCCTCCTCCTTTTCCTGTCAACTGTTCCCAGCATTAGGCTCTTCTCCAGGGAGTTCTTCCTTCTCATTAGGTGGCCAAAGTATTTGAGTTTCATCTTCAGGATCTGGCCTTCTAAAGAGCAGTCAGGGTTGATCTCCTCTAGGACTGACCGGTTTGATTGCCTTACGGTCAAAGGGACTCGCAGGAGTCTCTTCCAGCACCGCAATTCAAAGGCCTCAATCCTTTTGCGCTCAGCCTTCCTTATGGTCCAGCTTTTGTTGGCAGGGTGATGTCTCTGCTTTTTAGTATGCTGTCTAGATTTGCCATAGCTTTCCTCCCCAGGAGCAAGCGTCTTTGAATTTCTTGGCTGCAGTCCCCATCTGCGGTGATCTTGGAGCCCAGGAAAATATGCACTAATTTATAATAAATAATACTGTGATTATTATTAATAATAAATTTAATAATAAATAGTAAATATATTATTTAATTTAATGATTTTAATAAACTAATAAACAGACTAATTTGTGCACAGTTGCCAGGGGCCAATTGTCAAGTTGTCTATTGAAAAGCACCAGTAAAAAGGAAAAAAGGGACAAAAGTAGGTGCACCAAAACGTTTGTGGGGGGGTTAACTCTCACTTATTTATTTATTTATTTATTTATTTAAAACATTTGTATGCCATTCAATTGTGCCACAGCACCTCTGGGTGGCTGACAGCCACAAGATAAAAATACAATAAAACCATAATAAAAACCAATAACACATCAAAAACCACAATAAAATGCAACAAAAATTACAAAACAAAGGTCTTATGGCAATTAATTATTAAAATATTTTTTAAAAAGGAAGGCCTTTGCTTGGCGCTGAAGAGAAAGTAAGGAAGGTGCCTGGCGAATCTCCTTGGGGAGAGCAAGGTACCTGTCAAGGTACTCCTCCAGCTTTTAAGGGCTGACCTGATAGCTCTCAGTAACCTCCACCTTTTCAGTGCTTCCACAAATCTAGTTAAAGATGGCAGGATCAGCTCTGACCACACAGAAAAGCTAAGTCTAGGGAACAGCTCCAGGTCACTTCAGGCCAAGTGTGGTGTAAAAGCCCACCTTTAAACGCTGCTTCTAACATGGCTGCCTTTCTCTGGGTGAACAAGAAACCCTTAGTATGCACCCAGCCTCCTGCTGTTTTGCTGGATGCTCCGGTGGCACACTGCCAGTCCACGCGAGAAGCCAGCCATGCTGGAAGGAGCACAGGCCTTGAGTCACAACTTTGCCTCCGCAAGCGCCATTCAGATATTTCTCTGGGCAGTTTTTCACGTTGAGATGTGTGTGTGTGATGCAATGCAGAAGCCCTTATCTTTGCAACCCAAATGGCTCAACTGACCAGCTGAGTTCTAAGAAAAAGTACGTATCTTGACTGTCAACATGCTGGGCTTCTGAGTGGGAAGGGAAAAAAGAAGGCAGAAACTACCAAGAGGAGACTGGTTGGACCACCACAGACTTGTGTAGTATGAACATGCCTGCAAATGTGTCCACTTGTGAATGAGCCCACTTGTGTAGACCATCCAGAGCCGTTTCCTCGGTGTGCACCTGTTGTGGGGAAGCTGCTGTCAGCTTGTGGTACACCGTAATGAAGCCTTTGGCTGGCTTGCCATGTTAGACACAGCTGCGTTCAGACAAGGAATGAGTATGGGTTGCATGTGGGTGGTTGTTAAACTGTGGTTTATCATGTTTTCTGAACCCAGCCGTGCTAGCAAATAATGGTTTGTTAACCACAGACAACCCATGGTTTGTTCGTGGATCATGAACTGTGGGTTGTTCACCCTGGGTTGTTATCTCAGATGGGTTCAATGACTATCCATGGTTTACTGGCTATTGTGCTGTCTGATCCCAGCCAGCAAGGAGCTCCTGCAATGGCAAGGCATCCCAATTCCTCTCTTCAGGCACCTCTGCCCTTTGCCACCGCAGGCGACAGACTTGCAGTCAGGTCTTGGTGTCTTTCAGGTCAATGCCAGGAGGTGTGAGGCAGGGACCTGCCCAGAAGGCAGACAGTCCTGCTTAGAACCAGTGGCATTTGGGGCTGTTCACACTTTGTTCACAGGTCCATCCCTGTTCCCTAAGTAGCATGCATTGTATGTGTTTCCAGACATGCATTTTGTTGCATTTGTGCATTGTGCAATCTGTCCTTTCCTTTCAAAGGTGTGTCCTTTGTGCTTTCAGGCTCTGAGATCTGGGGCCCTTTAGCCGCATTCTGTGGAATTCTCTAGTGTTTTCTCTTAAGACCAGCAGCAAATCTGGAAGTGTAGGCAAGCGCCCGATAATCCTTCTAAGAACAGTCCTCAGGTGGAGGCAGCTGCCTCGATCCATCTCTGTACTGTGGTCCAGCAGGCCTTGCTGGTTTGCTTTCCAGTGCTAAAAATTGTGGAGTAGGTGAATTTCTTTCTAAGCCCGCAAAGCACTTGAAGATTTGCTACAGTAAGATGCAGTGATTGCCACCAACCTAGAGGGCTTTCAAAGGGATTTAGGAGAATTCATGGATGATAAGGCTCTCAGTACCTGGGCTACTAGTCATGACCTCTGCCTCCTTTGGAGCTGGAAAAGGCACGGCAAAGGGTGATGAAAAGGATTAAGAGGCTGGAAGACATCCCCCCATGAGGAAGAGGTACCGTGTTGGAGACATTTTAGTTCAGGAAAAAGTGAGTTAGGGAGGATATGATAAATGCACATATAGTTGTAACGAAGGTAGATAAAGAGGCATTTCTCTCTCTCTGATGAAAACCAGAAGGAGTATCCCATGAAGCTGAATGGTGGGAGAATCAGGGCTGATAAAAGGAAGGCCGTCTTGGCACAGCAGAGAGCGAGACACTGTGGAATTCACTACCCAGAGATGTAGTGCAATGGCCACTGGCTTGGGCAGCTTTAAAAGGGGGGATTAAACAAATTCCTGGGGATAAGGCTGCTAGTTCTGATGGCTGCACAAAGCCCCCTGGCCCAGAGGCATTATGCCTTTGCATACCAGTTGCTAGGGAGCCTGAGAAGGGGAGTGCTATTGTGCCAGGGGCCGGCCTGGCCTGCGCTGCCTCCCCCCCCCCCCAGGCATGCACTGTGCCACTGCAGGGAGATGAGAGGACGGAATGGATCTGCACTCAGTTTATCCCCGCCCAGCATTTATTATGCAGCCTTGTATTATGTCCCTACTGCTCAAGTGGCAGTGTTTCTATTCAGCATCATCTAGCACATATTAGCTATGCCTCGTGAGTTCCCCTCCAAGCATGCAGTCTTGCTTTATGAATCAGAAGCACACCTTATACAAATAAGATGCACCAACCAAAGCAAAACTGGGCAAGAAGTTAACCTGCCCTTGCTGTAGAAGTTTGCCCAGATGGCAAGGAAACTAAGGAGGGCTGGGTCTGGTCAGTGCTTGGATGGTCTCCTTTATGGTTCTTCCTACTTAGTCTCTTTTCCATAGTCCGAGGAAAGTCTTGGAGAATGTTCTGCATATGTCACGGATCTATATATGCAACAGATTCATGCCATATTTTATGATAATTGGATATTTTTGCCTTGTCTTATGTTCAGTTAATAAGGGAGTGATCCTGTGCATGCAAACACAGAAAATAAAATAATGCAGCGTCCCACATGCTCCAAGCAGTCCTGCACATAGTGTTTGAGTCATCACATCTTTCTGTTCCTCTGACAGTCTTTTCTTATTTTAGTACAAGTTTGACGTAATTTATTGTCCTGCAAGCTTCCACAGAAGCCTTTTTGGTTATTACGTGGAAGTTTCTAGAGTTGCCCTTCTTTGGCTTTCAAATCCCTCCTTGGGATCTCTAGAACTAAACTGTCCAAACAATTTACACTGGCTAGAACATGTAAATTAATGCATATGCAAATGCACAATGCCAGCTCACAGCTCCTTTTTTGCCAACTTCATTACATTCAAAAGATTAATGGAACGTTTAATCTTGCCTTTGAATAGGCTGCAGTTTGTGCAACACTAGCTTTAACTCTAACACATTCAACAATATTAACACACCATCCTTGCAAAAATAAATCCAGAGGCATTTTGCAAATGCTTTCAGCTTTAAAATGTTACTGAATCCACACATGCAGTAGAATGACATGGTGGAGTGACTGTACCACTTCAGCAAAGAAGCTTGTAACACTCAGGATGTGATCCTATGCAAGTTCAGGCAGAAAAGCTTACAGCCCAATGCATGCTGCCATTGGAGCATGCGGAAAATTGGAGGGCTTTTTCTGTTTAAACATGTGTAGGACTCTGCCTTAGACATTTTTTCTGGCGTAGGCCTTTGTGGGCTACAGTTCACTTTGTGAGATGTATGGAGCTTTATGGAGAACCTCAGGTTTTACAATAGCTGGGGAAGTGGTCGGTGGGAAAAGAAATACTGAAGGCAAGGGAGGAAGGAAGTTAAATGCTGGAAAGGACAATCACTCTCTTAATGTCCCCAGTGCAGTTGTTGCTGAGTCAAGTCATACATGTGGTGGGACTAAAGTCTGTTCCGGTTCAAGCCGGTGCCAGCAGCAGAATCCATCCAGAGGTTTTGCTCTACCTCAGCAGCCTCTTGCTGAGTCTCTGTCTGAAGTTGCTTTGCCCCACAATGGCTACTTTAAGGCCAGGGACCCGAAGAAGCCCTGTTTCCTTCTTGATCTCACCCCACACCAATGCTTCCATGCTCAGCTTCTGCCCTTTTCTGTGAAGGACGCACCTGTGAGGCAGGTCAGTCCAGGCGCCTGCTCCTGGCAGCTTTTGTGCTGGGATGCCCACCATTGCCCCCCAGGCCTGTGCAAAGGCGCAGCAGGAACAGCAACCAATGCAAGCTCCTTTTCTTCTCTCCGCCCAGATAAATGTACCCAGCATGGACCATGCCCTGTCCAGGCTCTGGCATCTGCTGTGGATGCTGACGCTGCTGTACTTGCCTCCCCGAGAAGTCCATGGCTTCTTCCCCAATTTCTGGTCTCGCACCATGGCGTTTGCTCCAGGGTCCATCACCCACCAGGACATGACGGAGGAGGCCATCCTCGCCATCACCGTGCGGCTCTTTGCAGAGACTCGTCGCCCTGCCAAGGGGAAACACATCCGAGAGGAGGACTTCAAGGTGAGAGGGAACAGGAGGCAGGCACCCGATAGGCTGCCATGGTGCCAAAGTTCAGAGCCCTTTAAAGCTGGGAAGAGCTGTAAATGGAGTGACTAGAATAGGTGGAGTTGGCAGGCAGGTGGGCCTCCTCTCTCTCTCTCTCTCTCTCTCTCTCTCTCTCTCTCTCCCCTGGATCTGACTGATGGGCCAAACTTAGGCTTACCAACTACATCTCTATCTAGAATTCAGCCTTCCCCAACCTGGTGGCCTACAGAGACATTTGGGCCACAATTCCCATACAGCAGAGCCATTGACTGCGGATTCTGGGTGTTGTAGTCCAAATGTGTCTGGACTGTGTTGGGGAATCCTGATCTGGACAGAGACCACATAGGTGCAGTTATCCACACAGGCAACAGTCCATCTGGATTACTGCAATATGTCACACACCTTTGAAAATAGTTAAGAAAGTTCAGCTGGTCCCAGACAGGGCAGTGGGATGGTTAACAGGGACTGGCCAATGTGATTCTTCTCTGCCTAAACTTTTTCATCTGCGTTGGCTGCTTGTCCGGTCTGATTCAAGGTGCTGGTATTAACAGTTGAAGCCTTATGTGGCTTGGATTCAGATTATCTTTTAAGATGAGGGCCCCTTCCCTGAGATAGCAGCTTGCCAGAGAGGTTTGCCTGGTTTTTCTGGTACCAGGGGAAGACCTCATTTTCCCAGGAACATGCTTTATGTTCCTGGGAAACATTTCCCTGCTTTAAAGAGAAGCAACTCCCGTCATTCCCAGCAAGCCATGGGGATGATGGGGGTACGTAGCTCAGAGCATCTGGGGGGCAGCAGGTCAGGGAAGGCTGAGATGACCCTTGGAGAGTTTGAAAGTGACCCACAGGTGTGCTCTTGAGCTGGGGCTGGGAGGAGGAGAGGGCAACACAGGAGCTTGCAGGCCCCCTGAAAGGAGATTCCCCACTTTTCTGGCAGCTTAAGTGGAGGTGTGAGGGGATATCCCCCTAGGCATGGGGGAAGAGGGCTTTATTTATTGATCTGATTGTATCCTATGGGTGGAATACAGAACCTTCCCCCTGAGTTGTTCTTTGGATCATAATCCCCCAAAGGACTCTGTTATCTCGGTATGATGTATTCCCTCCCTTGGGGCAAATAGCAATTTGGGTATGATCGTGGTGTGACACAAAGGAGGTTTCGCCCCTTCCCACGGCCCCAAAACAAACCCTGTGCTGTGGATCTCTCATCCTCTCCTGTAGTTTGGCTCCCATTTGGGGAGGGATCTGCCATCCCCTGCAGGGAGCAACGGGAATAGGCTCTGAGAAGACTAGCCCTTGCTGCTTTTGATGGGACACCCATAATCCTTTGTGCAGGCACAGGTGGCCAGGGAGCAAACTCTGTCTGGGCAGAGCCTGGCCTGTTGAGACGCACTCGCTATCTGCAGCCTCTCAGGCCTGGCATTAAACATGGGTGACCCGAGTCCCTTACAGCTCTGGGGAAGACTCATGTACAGCGGGGCCTGCTCTTCCCACCCTTCTCCCAGGCAGCCATGCCTATGCTGAGCTGGGTAGGTTCTTACCCTAAGGGGGTTAAGAAAGCCACATGGGGGAAGCTCCTTAACCCCCAGCATGCCAGCCTCCCCTGCTTGCTCTCAGCCCGCGTCCCAGCGTGTTTCTCCTGCACAAGCAGACCTAAAACTCCAGCTGGGATGGGAGAGGGAGCAGCTTTGGAAAGGGTTAAGCCCTCTCTCCCACGTGGGGCTTGTCCCTTGTAAAGCACCTCCCCCCAGGTGCTTCTTTTCAGGACAGGATGTTTCAGGATACAGTGCAGAGTCAGAACATGTAATTTTCCCCTCACTTAAGCAGTAACTTTCCAAGAGCCTCTTCCATTTCCAGGTGCAGTTTTTAATCTCAGGCCTCGCTGGTCCCCACCTCACTCTCAGCCAGAGGATAAGGCCACTCCTAATCAAGTTTCTCTCCCCCACTCAGGACAAGACCCTCCTGGCTGACGACATCTTCGCTGCTTTCTATGGCCCTGGAGTGTCTGCCAAGCGTTTCCGTGGGGCCATCGCCCAGGTGGCCAATGCCAACGCCAACATGGACTTCGCGAACACCACCCGGAACGACCCCAGGCTCCACTTTGACTCGGAGCTCATCTACGCCACCAACTCCTGGCTCTTGCAGGCCCGCAAGGAGGTCCTTCAGGCCGTGCGCTCGGAGCAGTACGACGTTGCCCGGGAGAAGCTGGGGCAGCTGCTCCATTCCTTGCAGGTGCCTGCAGGCAAACAGAGCCCCCGGCAGGGGCAGGAGGGGACGGTGGCGGCTGCTTCCTCCAATGTGGGGCCTTCCCGATGTCTTGGATTTCAACTCCCGTTAGCCCCAGCCAGCATGACCAGTGAGCAAGAGGCCTGGGAGCTGTAGTCCTCGATGTCTGGAGGGCCCCATTGGGACCGGTGTGCTGGAATCTTGGCTCCCTTTTTCTAGAGTAGTACCATAAAAGTGAGTCCAAGCACCAGCGTGAGCCTGGACCCCTTCCTTGGTGCCCACCTCCCACTTTTCCCCCTAATAAATGTATTTTCTTAGCAACAGCTGGAACTGCTTTGAAGGACGTTTGGCTGGTACTGAAAACTGGGTTCTTATGAGATGTTTACTGTGCTGAAGATCAGGCCCCTTCCCTGCCTGCCCTCAGTCAAACTTTTGGGCAGGTTTCTTGTCCTTTGCCATCCCTCCGATGCAGCCATTTTATGGAGGTGCCTAGGAAAGTTCCCCAAATTTCCAAATGTATGTGCAGTCTGGGAAGACTTCACTCACATAATCAAAAGTTGTGGGTCAGAATCCTTGTAAGGCCTGGTTCTGTAATGGGTTCAATACATAAATGGGTTGATTAATCAGTTTGCTTTGTCCTGCTATGAAACGTCTTTCTTTTCTTTCCCTTCAATTATTTAAAATGTTTATAACTTGCTTTTCTGCAAAATCATCAAAAGTGATATACAAAACAGTTAAATATAAATACCACTAAATGCAATAAAACTAGATCACTCATCACTCCAAAATAATTAAGCAGCTGCTACAATTAACACAACAGTACTAAACCCAAGCATTTTTCATAATCTCTCCTCCTTGTTGTCGTCGTGTAGGATTTTTATAGCCACAGCAACTGGGTTGAACTTGGACATCAACAAATACACCCAGATCTGGTCCAGCCAGGTCGTGAAATCAAATCTATTGCAGAAGGTAACAAATTGGTTTAAGTTTTCTCTTACACCCAGCAAAAGAAGCATTATTGATGTTATTGTTAAAATTTCTCATTGATTTTTTCTTATTGATTTATTACTATATGTATCTTCTACTTTTTTTCTGCAAAGAACTCAATGTGGTTTGCATAAACCCCCTCTGTCTTTATTTTATCTGCACCTCAGCCCTGTGAGGTAGGTAAGACTGAGAGTCAGTGACTAACCCAGAGACACATTGTGAGCTTTATGGCTGAAATGGACTGGAACTGGTGACCACATAATAATACTGGCTCTTAAACTCCTTTTTTCGGAAAAAACCTCAAGGTTTCTTAGAACAAAATTTTTAGTGTGCAAATGTGTAGATCAGTTTAAAGCAGCTTAAAATTAACAATAAAAGATGATCTGACGAAACAATTGAATTAAGAAGTCCCTCACATGCTGTTAAATGCCTGGAAACGGAGGAATTGCGTAACTGGGTGCCAAAAAGGCGACAGTGTTCGTGCCACTGGCAGGCCTCAGAATGTGTTGGTGTGTCCCATAATTTTTAAATGGGGGAGGTGGAGGCCTGTGTTTTGTATATTTTGGGGCTGCGTCTAGAACTCTTGGGCCCCTGGCTTGTCCGTCTTCCTGCGCTTTCCTCACCATGCCCCTCTTGTACCCTTCAGCTGGCGTCCGGACTTGCAGCGACTGCTCTGCGTGGACGTGTGAGGGAAACCTCGTAGAAAGCATCCCTGCAAAAGGGCTTCTGACCACTGGTTACTATGGTACCCAGCCAGAAAAACCCATTGGTATGTTTTTTGTCGCCACAATAGGATGGCGGGGGCTCTGTGCTGAGGCAGAGGTTTTGTCCTCCTTAATTTGTATTCCTTGTGTGTCTTGCATGGTTCACATTAAAAACCTGGTTAAATGTTTTAAAAAATCACCTAGATTTATCAAAGTTCGGAGAAATGTCCTCCCCCCCCCCCCCCGCCACTCAGCTTCTTCTCCTGTGATTGTTTCTTTTTTCTATTCCCTCCAAAGTCGCTTATTTTTTTTCTCTACTCAATTGTGTGCATATATATTTTGTTATAAAAAGATAAGTTCAACTCAGTCCTATTGAAATGGAGGCTTTGCAACCCCCTACTGTAGATAATTTATGAAGAAGAAGCAGAGCGTTAGAGCAGTTCTGTCTGCTCAGTGAATTCCTCTTTTGTTCCAGGATGCCTAATGCTGCACTTCACTTAGAAGCTGCTTGCTGCCTTTTGCACAAGTGGAGTGCAGCATTTGCTATCATACAGGAAAACAGAAAATATAATGATGTGGCACCTGCTGATGGAAGGCATCATTAGGGCCAGACTAGATGCAGTGCTAAACTTTGAAGTGCAGTGGCAATTATTTTTTAAAAAGCTAGCAGCTGCTGTGTTTTTGTTTGGACCACAATGTCACGGGGAGGGACTCTCTCCTCTGCAGCTGCAAATCCTAAGACAAAATGCTTGCACACATTGGCTTTAAGTCCCAGAAGGCCCACTCCCTGGCCGGAGGTGTTTGTGGGAACTCGCTTCCCATGGCTAATTGCTCCTCCAGAGGGGGAGGGGAATTTTTGGCAGGATTGCGGAGGGGGAGGCAGAGTTAACTCCATCTCTGCCTGCCACGGTCCAGGTGAAAATCAGTAATCTCTGCAGTGGTGACTGGGTTCAGACAACCATGATAACTCACACTCAAGGGTTGAATATGGGATGAGTGTGGGTTGTCATGAAGTGCGACAACGGATAATCCTGCTGTGTCAGCCTAGCTGTGCAATGAAGCCATTGCTTGCTAACCACGAACAGTCTGAGAAGAGAATCCACGGCTTGGTGTTGGGTTGTGCACTGGGGGTCGCGCACCATGGTCCTTCATCTCAGCAGGGTCCTGACAGCACGACAGACCATTTGAACAACACCCTGTTCAATGACAAGCCATGCTTGGCTCTTGAGTGCGGGTTTGACGCCGGCTGAATCCAGTAACGACAGCGTGGCACCAGCCCTGCTGCGTCAGCGTGCAGGACCCGAGGCCCCGGGGGCTCCACCCAGCTTTGGGACTGGATTTCCTTTTCGGGCTTGCTGGGAACCTGTAGTGCTTCCTCTGTGGATTGGTGATTCTCTGGGTTGTGTACAGTTTTCCCCTCTTGTGAAAGTTGGAAATCTCTCTCCCAAGACCTAGTATAGACTTTATGGCAGGGAGCTTCGCATTCTGTCCCTGCCCCTTTTACCTTCAGCCCTATTCACCACCGAAATGGAGCCCCTGAGAACTTCTCCAGAATCAGTCCTTGGGCTGAAAGAAGTTTAGTACCCTCGGTTTAGCACTTTGCTCATATGAACCCGACAACAAACCTTCTTTTAAAAAAGTAATGTCTAAGCTGAAGAAGTGGTACAGCTGGGGACTTCGGGGGTGGCGGGGTGGAATGGTGACTCAAATGGCAGTGGCTTGATGCTGCTCCCTTTCTTATCTTGTTCAGGAAGCTATTAAAAGTAGAGGTATTTCTGCCTCGCTAACTGACAGTTGAGCAGAATTTGTCTAATGCTTTGATAATAATGACAAGATAAGGTAACTCGAATGAGTCCAGAGTTTGCCCCCCCATGTACTTTCTCTTTTGCTTTTCTTCTCTTCTCTCTTTTTTCTTTTTTTCTGCTTTTGCCAAGGGAATAATAACGACACTTTAATTTGATAGAGATAGAATATTATTATAAAGTATGATACCATAGAAGGCAGTAACTGACTTTATTTAATCCTATTATTATAAAGTATGATATCATAGAAGGCTGTAACTGACTTTATTTAATCCTGCTTTTTGTGCTCTATCTATCAAGCGTTTTCTTTCTCTCTCTCTCTCTCCTTTTGTTTCTTTTGTTTTTTCCCCCCCTTAACCTCCTTGTCTTCCCTTCCTTTTTATTTTTTTCATTTTTTGTTATCTTTTTAAATTCTGTACTGCTTTAGGAGCTTTGTTGAATTGTGAGACTATTTACAGCAATGAAGGAATGCAGAAGTTTGAAGTGGTGGAGGTGGGAAGGGGAGAAGAGAAATGTTAATTTGAAGCTGAAGCAGAATTATGTGCTATATTTATTGAAAGATAATTGTTTGAGGTTTTTTTAATGGACAATAGAGACAAAATGAAGATCCTATCTATAAATGTCAATGGGATGAACTCCTCTTCTAAATGAACTATTTTTTCAAGTTTTTAAGAAAACAGAGGGCAGATATAATATGTATTCAAGAAACGCATATAAAGAAGAATTTGTTCACATTCTGAATCTCAAAAATCTGGGCTGGGATTTTACAGCCTCAGCAGATTCTAAGAAGGGAGTTGCCATCTATATTAGCAATCAAGGACTAAACGTGGTAGAAGAACGTTTATTGCTTTGAAGATTAGATTTCTGCATGGGAAAATTAAGACATTGGCAGTGATTTATGCAAATGATGCAAAATAATACTTTTATGAATATTTTCTTCAATTGATACTGGACTTTCAAGAAGGAGAAGTTCTGATTATTGGTGATATGAATGGAGTTACAGATCCAAATACTGATAGGTCAAAAAAAGCTAGAGGTGGTAAACTACCTAAAAATGTTTTTAATTACATGGAAATGCTGCCATTAGAAGATGCATGGAGAGTAAAAAAAAAAAACCTGCAGTTAGGGATTATACATTTTTTTCTGACAGACAACAGACATATTTAAGGATTGATATGTATTGGATATCTAAAAATTTAATAATGAATTTAGAGCCAGTAAAGATCTTATCCAAGTTACTTTCTGATCATAATCCATTGGAGATAATATGGCAGGAAGAACAGGTTGGAGGAAGAAGATGGAGAGTCAGTGGTAATATTTTGCTACAAGAAGATATTTTGACAAAGTCAGAAGAAGTACTAGAAGAATTCTTCAAATTAAATAAGACCAATGATGTCTCCAGAGTTACAATTTGGGAAGCCAGTAAAGCTAATATGAGAGGATACTTCATAGAAACAATGTCTAAAGAAAAGGGAGATAAGTCAGCACACACACACACACACAAAAGACTTTTGGAGCAAATTCAAATATTAGAGGATCTACATAAAAATAACCAATATAAATTAATTTTAACAAAACTCAGACAATTAAGAAATCAGCTAGATATGTTAAAGACAGAGGAGATACAATAGAAGCTGAGCTTTTTAAAACAGAGACATTTTGAACATGCAAATAAACCTGGTAGATATTTAGCTTATTGTCTTAAGAAGGAAGTGCAAAAAAGATCTATAACAGCAGTGAAAAAAGATAATGGAATAACATATGTGGAAAAGGAAATTCATGAGCAATTCATTAATTTTTTCTCAAAGTTATATAAAAAAAATCAAACCCAGAAGAAGGGATGGAGAAGTATATTGAAGAAACAGGACTTGAGAAATTTACTCCGGAGCGGAAGAAAATATTGAATGAAACTATTACTATTCAAGAGCTCTCACAAGCCATTAGCAATTTGGCTTGCAGATAAAGCAGCAGATAAAGCACCTGGTCCTGATGGATTTATTGCTATGTACTATAGATGCTTAGAGGAAAAACTAATTCTGCAGCTACAACAAGTAATGAATGAAATTAAAGAAGAAGGATCACTGCCACCAACACGGCAAGAAGCTCATATTTCATTGATACATAAAGAAGGCCTTCATCCTGTGTTGCCACACTCCACCTCCTATTTCATTATTAAATGTTGATTATAAATGTTTTATTTCAATAATGGCAGAAAGAGTAAGAAAATATTTGGAAAAACATCTATACCAACCAAACTGGATTTGTCCCTAAAAGGAATATGGAAGACAATAGATGCTTTGTGATGGATACAATGGAATGGATTAAGAAGAAAAGGAAAAAAAGCTGCATTTATTTTATTTTTCTAGATATGGAGAAAGCCTTTGATACCATGGCTTGGCCTTTTCTAATGAAAACCCTCCAACAGAGACTGTGGCCCAAGCTTTTTGAATTGGATGCAGGCAATTTATATTAGACAACATGCAAAGATTCTAATCAATTATTTACTAACTGACAGTTTTCAAATGGAGAAGGGAACACGTCAAGGATGCCCTTTATCGGATCTCTTGGATTGGAAATCTTAGCAAAAAAGATAAGACAGCTTCCAAAAATTAAAAGCTTTAAAACAGGTGGAGAAGAATATAAAATAAAATGTTATGCAGACGATATAGTTTTGACTTTCTTAGATCCACATCAAACCATACAGCATATAATGGCGCAAGTTGAAAACTTTGGACTTTATTCAGGATATAAGATCAATTAGAAAAAAACAAAAATTATATTAAAATTTGCAACAAAACAAGAAGAGGAACACATTTTAAAAGTTTCAGGATGTGAAATAACTTCAAACCCAGTTAAATATTTTGGGTTAAACGTATCGAGATGTTATTGACCAATCCGGACGAATTAAATCTTGGCAACAACTGAAAGATGAAGGGAAAAATATACAATGGCTTGTTTACCATCAATTGATTTCAAGACTGAAGAGGGAAATGGAACTAGGAGAAGACATTTTAAGAGATCTGACAGATGTTGAAATGTTGATTACACAGCAGAATGATCACTTACTGGGAAGACTTTACATACTGTTATTACACTATGATACTGAAAAGCTATCAAGATAAGAAACACGTAACAATCTGGAAATAGAATCTTGGTGCAGAAATACTGTTGGATCTGTGGGAAACTCTTTGGAAGAAAGATATTAAATTCACTGCTAGTCAGCCATTAAGAGAAAATTGGTATAAGATGTTTTATCGGTGGTATATTACTCCAAAAGATATTGGGAAAATAGATAAGAATTATAATGTAAAATGTTGGAAATGTAACAGGGTAGATGGGACCTTTTAGCATATATAAATACAAACATTTTGGAAATTGATACATGCAGAAATGCAGAAAATCCTTAAAATTAAGTTTCCTATGAGTCCCAAGAACATGCTTTTGAATAAGTTCCAGAGACCGTTTTAAAAAATATGTCAGAGTTATTTACGTATATGTCTATGGCAGCAAGAATCACAATAGCTTCAAAATGGAAATCACTGGAGCCCCCAAGTATTGAAGAACAGAGAAATAGATGAGCTGCATAGGCAGTGATGGCAAAGCTAACTAATGACATAAACAGAATTCCGTTAGAGAAATTTAATGATAAATGGAGATTTTATTGTGTTTTATTTTGTTCATTTTAGTTTGTTCTGTTTATGTTAGTCTTTCTTTTGTTCTGTATTTCTTCTATGTAATTGTAATTAATAAAAATAAGAAAAAGTGGTACAGCTCTCCCCAACCTGAATTGCATCAGAGTGAAGGTGGGGACTATTTTGAATATTTTTCTAAATGCAACAGGAAACAAGCGTGCTGGGTCATTTATTCATATTCTGGGCTATGCAGCCCCAGAGGGGACTGTACCATGAGCTTTTCTCTGAGTAGGCCAGTTGCCCTTCATCTGCCAAATGTCTGCTGTATAACATCTTGGCCTGCTACCTTGAATTTTTTTCTAGGAGATTAATGATGCACCAACCTTTTCCTGGAATTTCGGTATTTATGGGGATGGCCACGTCCTTCCTCTCCTGTCTCCTTAGGGAAGTGCAGTCACGGTGGGAGATTTGATGGCAGCAGCCAGAGGGAGCCACGTGGGGGAATCAACAAGGACAGCTCGTCCCAGTTTTTCTCGCCCCACCACTATCTGCACCACGAGGCGGCTGCTCTGGCCCAGGAAGCCTCCAAGCACTTCCTGGAGAAGCTGTGGCGAGAAATGGGGAGCAAGCCGTTCATGAGGTGAGGCTGCCTGCCCCATAAGACTTTGCGCACCATCCTGCTCTTCACGTAACGTCTGCCTCCGTCTGTGCCTGTGGCTCCCAATGCTCCCAACAAGATGGTTGCCATCCTGCTAGTAGCATGTGGAGCACCCCAGCTGCTGGGGCCAAATCCTGCCCGTGGGGAGGAGGCCAATGCCCCTTGCCCTCTTTCCTTCTCTCCATCACCACCAATCTTTGTGTGCTGCATTATCCCCATCCTAAAAGGTTACTGGCGGTAGGAGCTTCAAGCTAAACGGTGCTGGTATTTTGGCCCCACACTTTTGCCTTTGGCTCCCCCCATCACAGGAACGTACCCCCCTCAACACCTCTGCCGAGGGATGTCCTCTCTCTTGATACTGTGCCTTTTCCCTCTGACCTACTTTTCCGCGTAGCTCCTGCATCTGCCCCTTCTTTGCTGAGGCTTGTGCTTTCTCCTCCCAACATCATCCCAGTGTCCTGCAGCATTCAGGCTTTCACCTCCCTGGACCAAGTAGAAGTGTATTTTCTTGCTTTCAGCTGAATACGACCACCCACATCTCTCACAGAAGCTGCTGTATTGGTCAGTATTCTGTTTCTCCCCCACTCCCTTTGCAGGAACAGTTAGAATGTTTGTGATCCTTCCTCAGCTGATGGATGAAGCTATCTCATTCTGAATCAGGCTAAAGGTCTGCCCAGCCTGGTATTGTCAGCACTGACTGGCAGCAGCTGTTCCAGGTTTTCAGGCAAGAATATTTCCAGCCCTAAGAGGAGATGCTGGGGGTTCAACCTGGGCCCATTTCCCTTCAAAATATCTGTCTACCACTGGGCCACCTCCTCCACTGAAGTTACTAGCACAGCCAAGTTTTGAAGCAGCCTCTTTTATGTAGCTATACTCTTAGCAGCAATCCAATCTGCTGTGTTTAACCAGCCACAGTGTTTAACTCCATAGCACAAAAAACCTTCACCTGCTGATTTCTTTTCTGCATATCAAACACCTGTTAAATGAAGAATACAGGTTCATTGGCCTTGGAGGCCAACCTCCACCGGACCAGAAGTCCAAATTCTGCCCACTGTAGGAATCCCTGCTGTTACTTTCTATGAAAGTTACAAGGACAGAAGCAAACTGGGCTGTTCTGCATACCTGTGTGTATCTTGCCAGGTGGCAAGGATATCCTGGGCATTTCCCGGGGAACAGAACAAGTCAAGGCTTAAGATAGCAAGAAAAGAGCAGAGATTCGGAGAATTGGTTGCACGGAGGAACAGCCAGTAGGCACCCTTGAAACCAAAAGGCTTGCCTGGTCAGGAGACTTTTTTTTAGCAGTTGATACCCTGGCACACGATCTACGGATGTTCAAGGGCTTTCTTCCAGATCTGGCTGGTCCATTTTTTAGTTCCCTTCCTTGGCTGAAGCTTGGCAATGGTGCAGAGGCCAAATCCTCACCTTGCCAGACATGATTTAACTTGAGAGGGCCCAGGGCGCTTGACGCTGCTTGTCGGAACACGGCACCAGGCATCAGCCAACTGAGCAAACCCATGGGTCAGTTTCTTGCACTGTAATAACTGCATATGCACATAGGCATTCACATGTAAAGCCTTATGCAAATCTCTGCCCTTTTTTGCTCTGCTTTTGGTGCCGTCCTTCCTTTTTTTGGCCAATGTGTAAGTGGCCATCCTAGCCATATGTTTATACAATGAACAGGCGGGATCTGCAATGTAGAAGCAGTGGCTGCCTTCTTTCATGGTGGAATATTAGACCTGAAGAGCTAGCAGGTTCTTTCCACCTCCCATGAACATTCAGTTGCCTCAGACAGACAGTTTTCCCCCCTCGACTGTTGGGACAGCAGGATAAAGACCACACCATGACTCCTGCTCTCCCGTCCCCAGGCTACTGGATATCAGTCCGACAACAGGCTTGAGCTTCGTTGTGGACACCACTGGAAGCATGGGAGAAGAGATCAATGCCGCCAAGTTGCAGGCACGGGATATCATAGACCGGCGCCGTGGTACCTCGCAGGAGCCCGATTTCTACCTCTTAGTGCCTTTCCATGACCCCGGTGAGATTATTGGCATAGGCCCGGTTTCACTGGGGGAAACTGGTTGATTATTTGTTTGTTAAATGGGTGTCTTGCCTTTCCACCAAATGGTGCTTAACAGTTGTAAAATGCAAAGTCAAAATGTTGCAAGTATCAACAACAACAACAAAAAAAACAGATAAAATGTAAGAAATAGCCAATCAAGCAGATAATATAGCACAGTAGCTGCAAAATGCCAGCTTCTCAAGCCAAAAGTCTGTCTCAGTAAGAGCATCATTGCCTGCCAGAAGAAGGAAGCAGAGATGAAGCTGGCTGCATCTCCCTTGGCAAGATGTTCCGGAGCCTGGGAACAGTCATTGCGAAGGTCCGCTCTTGAGCTCCAGCAAAACTCTCTTCCGATGTTGGAGGGACATGAAGGCTCCCAGTGGGCTCATATCAGAAAAAAGAATCCTTCTTTGAATTAACCCCAGAGTCAATATAAAGGCTATGACCTTCATTAATGCTGAAGCAGATCAGTACTCCTGCTTCACTCACAAGACTCCATGAAAAGAGAGGGGAAAGGGGGCCCCCTTTTGCTTCCTGATTATGGGCATACTTGCATGTGTGAATCAGCCATCACAAACCAAACAAAATGGACAGGATGCAGACTAATCAAAGCATCTCTGGTCTGTTGCTTTTCAGTTGACTTGGTTCATACATTCAGCTGAATGGAAGAAAGTGATTGTAAGTGTGTGTCTGAACTGGCCATTGTGTGCTTTCTTCTCCTCTTGCTCTCTCTCTCTCTCATTTCTCCAGGCTTTGGCCCAGTCCATAAGACTAGTGACCCAGAAGAATTCTGGAGAATCCTTGACACCATCAGCCCTTTGGCTGGTGGGGATGAGCCAGAAATGTGCCTTTCTGCACTGGAGGTAAACTATTCATGTGAATGCCTTGGTATCCAAGGAAAGGCTAGAGGAAAGAGGAAAAGGCTCTCAAACCATTATGCCCTTTTGACCACTGGCGGCCTGGAAGTTCCATTCATTATGAGGCTGCAGAATAGTGCAGCATCCCTGTGCTGGATCCTGCCCTTGTTTTCTTTCCAACTATGGTGATCGAAAGCATTTTGACCAGGGCCATATCATTGGGTAGGTTAACAAGACTCCGGCCCGAGGTCCATGATTTTTCTTACTAAGTTTTACTTGAACATTTAAGAGTGCAATCCCACTTTATTGTAAAAATGATGTTGGTAGTAACTGTCCTCTTCCATTTTCTTTGTGGATATTGCAGTATCAGATATCCAGAAAAGGGTCTGCTTATGGGGAATGTTGAATCTGAATGCCTTGGCATCGAGGTGGGCTGTTCTGGCGGCTGCACTCTCTCTCTCACGTGCATGCTCCAAATTTTAACATTAGTGACAGCAGTTCGTCACAAAATTTCAACACTTCCACATGAATGCTGATTCCTGATTACCTCAGGCTAATATTCCAACAGTATAATTTGGGACAGGGGAAATCCTTCTATTTGTTGCTATTGTTAAATAGTTGGGAGTCAGAAGTCCCGGGACATCTACTACAAATTATCCAGTGATCTACATGTAAATCCATATCTACCTTCTGCCCACTCCAGATTTAGAGTTTAGCAAGTTGAACATTTTGCTGGCTATGGTATGAAAGTAGCCAGGTGGTCCTTAATGTGGATTGGTATTTGCATACTGAAACATCAATGAATCTCTGTCAAATCTCTGTTAAATTGCAGTCCTATGAAAGGTTCTGCTGTGTTTTTGTGTAAGCTTGCATATGTTTGTGCCCTGAGTTGTATATTTGACTGCTGATAGACTTTGCTAACTAGTTGCTGAAACAGATTTGAAGGTACAGTGTGGAAACCTTCTTGGGGCGAAAGCATCCAGGAACACATTTTTCTGATACTTTCATTTGACTGTCCTTAAGACTACAGAGCCATGTGTTGTGCTTGGTGGAATATGAATCTCACAGGTCTTTTTCCATTTCTCTAGCTTGCCCTCCAAAGCTCACCAGCATACTCTGAAATCTTTGTTTTTACCGATGCCTCTGCTAAAGATGCTCATCTCAAGAACAGCGTAGAAGCTCTCATCCAGGAAAAAAAATGCAAGGTTGGCTAAGGCATTTATTTGACATGCGATTTCAATTTTGCTACAATCTGATACCTTAAAAACTATAAACTCATGCTTGTTCTTTCTTTCTTGCTTGCTTGTTTGCTTGCTTGTTTTCTCCATGTGGCCCTAGGTGACCTTCCTAATCACAGAGGATCCATCCAAGACCAGGGTAAAGCGGGAAACACTGGCTCCAGACCGATTCAACCTCTATGTAAACCTAGCTCACAGCTCTGGAGGCCAGATCATATTTACAGACAACAAGAATATCCAGGAGGTGGCCAAGATCATCAGCGAATCCAGCATATCTTCGGTAATGGGAGTGGGGCAACAGGATTTCTTTTCACCACTGAGAAGGGCTCTCTGGCCATTTCCTCTTTAAGGGATATAATATTTGACTGATCAATTGCTTTAAAGATCTTTCTGGAGGGTGGCACTGGCTCATTTCAGTTGTCCTTGTCTGCTTAGCTGCATGTTGTTCTCCTCTTAGTACTAAACCTGATTCTGTCATCTTTAAACATAACAATGCTGGAGAAGAAGCCTCTAATCCATCATTTCAGAATCTTAATTTTGATTAATCTTTGTTTATTTTTTGAAACCTTGCTGTTTGTTTAAGATGAGCTACTTTCTTTCATCTGACAGTATTAAAACATTTGTTCAACTTCTAATATTTCCCAGTAATGTACCTCGGAAACATGACAAAACTATTCTTCTTAAAATGAATTCCTGTCTTGAAATTTCTAGACTACTTGTAGGCATGCTGCCTGGTTAAAAATAAACCCAGGTGATCTGTTAAGCATGCAGTTTTTTGCAGGAGAGGGAAAACAGTTATTTGAAGAAATACATGTATTACTGTTTTCATGTCAGTTTAAACCAGGATCCTTGGCTTATTAAAGCCACACTGTGCACACTTGTTTGCTCCTGCTGCACTTCTCTTACTTGTGGGTATACACATTGGCATGGATTGTCGGAATATGAGATCATGGTTTGTTGTGCTGAAACAAGCTAGATTTCATAAACCAGCAACAAACCCTGGTTTAAAGATAGCTTATGATCATTGCTTGTTTGGATTCAGGAAAACAATGCAGTAAAAATGAGGTACTGAGTAACTTGTGTACATCATAGCTAAAAAAGTAGAATTTCTGGATTGAAGTGAGGTCCAAAAGTGATCACTGTAGGCTATATGCATATGAGGCACATTGGAGATAAGAGAGTCTTTATTCTTTTTGGCACCAGACCAAAACCTTTTTATTTAACCAGTATTTTAATTGTTGATTTATTTATATATATTGATTTAATCCTATTTTAATCAAGTGCTATAAATTGTTATATGTTCTTAAAATTGTAAACCATCTTAAGATTTTCTACAAAAATAATAGACAGTATAGAAATCTTTAAATAAATAAATAAATAATGAAATAATCTTAAGAAATGTATTCTCACAAAAGAAATGCCGTTTTAAATGCTATTAAAATATTATGTTTTGGGGAATTAAAAGCTGCTACCAGTTAATGGGGGACACCTTTCTAGTTTCTCAAAATGTTTGTTTCAATTGATTTAACGAACTCATCAGCTAAACGTTGGAGGTTCTATCGCTATGACGTAACAGTGTCATGGGTATTTTTACACCCGCCATACGTTGCAAGGGTACCTGTGTGTGTTGTCCTCACATCATTACACATCCAGTAATGTTTCTGTTGCAAACCGTGCCCCCCATGTTTGCCCCACCAGCCAGCTCTTACAGGCATTGGGGATCTGCTTTTCCAGGTGATTCTCTTCCGCCACCAGAAAGGAAACCTCTTCGCTCTTAAGGAGACTCGCCGGAGGACAAAGAAGCAGGCGGCGGAGCTGGAGGCTCACCAGTTCTGGATTGACAGCCTGGTGGACAACGTGGTCGTAACTATCCAAGGGGTCTTCCGAGGCTTTGAACTCCGTGATCCCACAGGTAGCACCTGATTTTTTTTATCCATAATCCTGAACAGGTCTGTATGTTCCCCTTCACATGTTGGTTCTTAGGCTGCTTTAAAATGCGTTCCTATTTTAGGCCTCTACATAGGGTAGAAAAGCAGGGTGCATGGTAAATTATGGATACACCTCCATGTGTCCATAAGTCATGAACTCCTGGTTATTTTAAGGAAAACCTTAGAAAGGTAATCGCATTCTTCCTCAGGGGAAATTTGGCCTCCTTGGAAGCATATGAGAAGATTCCGGCACTGAGCAGAGTGCTGGACTGGACTGATGTATGATTCTGTATGATAGGCTGACCGGAAGACAGCTTGCTTACCGATTCAGCTGTTCCTTTCTTACATCCTGCTGGAGGAACTACTGACCACCTTGATCACTTGAGGTTGTGTGCCCTATTGCAGCTGCACTTGCCTGACCAGACAGTCTGTGGGCAGCTTGGAGAGCGCCAGAAACCACTCATACTGTCTGTTCCTCCCCCATCCCCCAGACCAAGAAAGAAATCTTAGTTTTGCCTCCAAAATTTGGTGGCACGATGTTCCGTATTTCAGCTATGGGGAACTAAAAGGAGCTGGCTCCCATGGAATGCTGGAGGAATGAAATGCCATTTCAGGATAAGTGACAAATGAACCTTTTCACACTCCTTAGTGTTAAAAGGAGGCATTTTTCTTTTGTTTTAAGAAGCGGTTTGCGTGTTGCCTGTGTCTGCTCTACGTGAACTAAGCGGGCAGCCAAGGATGCGCCTTTGTTCCATTTATTTATTTATTATTTAAAACTTTTATATGCCATCCCTTATGCATAGCATCTCGGGACGGCTCACAATCAATAAAATCAAATACATTAAAACTATCTAAACAATAAATAACATAGAACCAATAAAACCAATAAAACATGACTGTTGCATTAAAATACTGATTTTTAAAATAATGGTTAAATAAAAAGTTTTTGCCCTGGCGCCTTTGCAGTAGGCCTGTGGCAAGTGTACCAGGGCACACCGGCAACTGCTTAATTTCAGAATGTCCATATTCTTGAGGACGCTTCTAAACAAAGGGCTCCTGGCACTTCCGTTCAAAGGGTATTGTGCCTGCATGTTGTGGTCCAACACAGCCAGACCCTGTCGGTGCAAAAGGGGTCTCCTACTAAAAGTGGGGAGGTTGCAGATTTGGCTGTGTCTTTACTTTGTAGTGGCATTTAATGGTGGATGCTGGGACATGCCAGCTGGCTTTGACAGTTCTAGTTTTTCACTGACATTGTTTTAGTTGTTTAAACTGTTTTACATTTTGTATAAATTTCTTTTCCCAATATTTTAATAGTTAACTGTTAAACTTTAGTTTTAATATTGAATTTTATCCTGTACCACTGCTATACCTCTGTGCTGATTCGGTTATAATTGCTGTGGTTTTATTGTCTTATGCTATTTTTTTTCTTTCTTGTTTGTGTATTTTTAACTTTTGTTAACCTCCCACGGAGTCTTGGCTGTTTGGCAGTATAAAAATGAAATAACAGCAACAATTATATATTTAAATGTTATGCTGTTATTTATACCTATGAACTGCTGTGAATCACCCAGAAAGCATCAGCTATTAGGTGGCATGGAAATAAAATAATTATTATTATTATGAAGATGTAGTTGATTGAATCATAGATAGGCATGTGTTATGCCTATTTTAGCCTAAGATTTAACCCATCTTACTTTTAAATATATTTTATTCTTGTATAGTAATGAATTTTCAGGTTAACTGCTTTTAATCTTGATGATATGATTAGCAGCCTTGTGCACTGTTTTTGGCAGAAAAGGAGGATATAATTTTTATTAGTTCACATGAATGAATGAATGAATGAATCTAATGGCCTTCCTTGCAGGGGCAACCCAAACGGATGCTTCAGCCCAGGGTTCCTTAGCCAGGATCCAGTCCATTGGCGGCATCTACAGAGCATTCCTGTCTTCACCTGTCTGTGCTGGCGAATGGACATTGAGGCTTTGGTCAAAAGGGCACTACTCTGTGCATGTCCAGGGTGAGGAAATAATAACCACGACTATTCAAAATATGTCTTGGCCATCTTTATGGGCAGGAGCCTTCCCAAGGCAACGCATGACAGTAAACCTCACATCCTAAAAACCAGTGTGGTAATAGAAGGGTAAAAATAACAACAGCAAACATTCTACCTCGCAGGGTTGTTGTTGTGGGGATAAAATGGGGCTATGTTAGCTGCCTGATTTCATTAAAGGCTGGGAATAAAGGCTGGTGGTGATGGGTGCGCAATGAACTCTCAGCCAACCTACCTCACAGGGTTGTTGTTGTGGGGATAAGATGGAGGAGGAGATGGAAGCTACCTTGAGCCCTTTGTAGGAAAAAGGCAGGATATAAATCGAAAATAAATAAATAAATAAATTCTTCTAATTATACATGTGAATACATCTTTGAGTGCCAGTTGCAGTGCATCTGTTCTCAGTCTAAAACTGCAGCCATGATTTTGAAATCTTGCACCAGTGGATTATATATTCAGGATTGTTCCAGTCCTCCAGACCAAATATTTTTTAGTGGGTATAGAGCTGCTGAATCACTGCTTTCTCGCAGTGCCCTGCAAGCGGGATTAAAACCGTGGTTTTACATAGCGCTACTTAGTGTCTATAGGGAACTAGTGGTGCGGTGGTTGGAATGCTAGCCTCAGACACGGAGAGTGGCATGCTAGTTCTTGTCCAGTAATAAAAATCACGGGGTGGCTTGAGGCCAGCCACTGACTCTCCGCCCATTTTACCTCGCAAGCTGCTTGTGAAGATAAAATGGAGGGCAGGGGCCTGCACATTGCCTTGGGTACCCTAAAGGAAAGGGCAGGATATAAATGTAACCAATATATCAATATATGACCATGCCTACTCAGAAGTAAGTTCTGTTCACTGCAGGTCTCTACACCTGTTTCTCAATTATGTACAGCTTTTTCACGTTCGGTAGGCAAGTGTTAGGAATTGGCTCTTAATGCATCGGTCCGGGTTCTTTTGGAGTGGGGGTGGGGAGAGCTCCAGTTGAGAGAGGAATTGTTCACCTTTCTTTCGTTGTTTTTGCAAAGCTATGGTCATCCAAAAATTAACGAGCATTGCTTTGGAAACCAGTCAAATCCCTTGCACCCAGCAAGACCTGATTGATTGAATGTCAGTTCAGTTATGTTACATCCGCACTGAACTGAAAGTGATTACAGGGCAGGAGCAGCAAAGAGAGAGAGAGAGAGATCCTGTTTTAAAGTAGCGGATAGTCTGCAAAGTAGTATGCAAGTAATGACCAGATTCTCTTTTTAAAGTGAGTGAACCCAAAAATGATATTTCCAGACCTTGAAAGCTGGTGTGGAAGCCACCGTGCTGATGGAATGGTTGGAATGGGTCTTTCTGGGTCCCAGCCTGCCCCCTCGAGCCCCGGTCCCTTTGTTGGCCACGACTGAGCGCCGCCTTCTGACGTTTCCCATTATTTTTTCTTGGTGGCAGGTCAGAGCAGCCTTGACTTCCTCTATTCTTTTGCTGTTCCAATGGATGGACCCCACCCAGGGCTTATGATGGATAGTCACCCTATAGAAGGTACATGCGGGGTCCTTACTTTTCACCGTGTTTCTTCCTGCATAGCCATGAGAGTCCCCTTGATGAACAAAGTTATAATGACTGCAATGGTCTTTATCCCTCTGGATCTGGCTGCCGTAGCTGTTCCCAAGGGGTTCAAACATATGCAAAACTATCCCCCAACTTGGCTTCCAGGTCATGCTTAGGCTCTGGAAATCTCCTCTGCCTTTACTCCTTCCCCGTGGATTCTGTATTTAGTGTCCAGCTTTGGTTGACCGGCCTAATCACAGGGCTGGAGGTTTCTAGAAGTGCCCCCACCTAGAACCAGGCACACTGGGCATTGTGGGGATTGGCTGCATGGTCCAATTAGCTTTTAACTTGCATTCCAATAGGCTTGCCTACTTATCTGGTAGTGACGGTGATGGGCCTGAATCAGTCGAAGAGTGGCCCCGTTCAACTCGAAGCTGTGAGTTTGGAGGGGAGGACGGGCAGCCTCGGGGAGCTGAAATTGCAAGCACGAACCAGCCGGGCTGACCTCTTTATGGCTGAGCTGCCCCAGGGTCTCTTGACCAGCAGCAACTTCTCTCTGGTGCTACGTGGCGTGGACAGCGAGGGGCGGAAGTTGGAGAGGGCTGCTCCTCAAACTGCCACTGTTTTGGGAACCTTGCTGGAGGTAAGTTAAGGGAGAAGGGAAGTGCGCCTTAGTGCTCAGCTTTGGGAAGCTCTCCCACTCACTTTTAGTGCAGGGTTCAGCCCCACAATGAACCGCAGTGGTACCTCGGCTCACAAACGCCTCAGTTCACGACCAAATTGAGTCACGAACAGAAATTTCAGGAAGTTTTTTCCTCAGGTTACGAACTCCGCATTGGGTGACGATCGCGATCGTGCCCACCTCCCCCCAGGTGTGCCCGCAATCGCGCCCTTCTTCCTTGAAATTAAAAAAAAAATAGTTACAGAACAGATGAACCTTATTTACATTGAGCCTTATGGAGCAATTTGACTTGGCTCACGACCAATTTGGGTCACGACCAGAGTCCTGGAACGGATTAAGTGCATGAGCCAAGGTACCACTATACAGAGATTTGTCCTACAGCACTTTGTAGATCTGTCTGCTTTCAGTGATACACAAGGAGAATCTGCCATTCTCCACCAAGCCGCCGGCCAGCACAAGCGGACTTGGGCGTGGAGAAGGGCTGGGGCATGGCTTGCAGTCTCACGTCCTCCCCGCCCCACCACGTGTGGTTTACTTTCCTGTGGAGAAGCCTGTGTGTGAGCAAAGTAGACACGATGGCAGCAGGCCTGTGCATTAGGATGGCGTTCTAATGATGTCCTCCGGGTCTGTGACTCCCACCATCAACAGCCAGTGTGACCAGTGCGATCTTTAACGAATGAATGTTTAGAATAACAAAATGAAATGTTTTTCTCCACCCCAACTCCTCTCCCAGAAATTGGCTGCTGATCAAGTGGCTAGTAGCAATGTGAGATCATTGTTTTCAGGCAGGTGAGAATCTCTGAATGCTCGTTTGGCCAATTTACCATATTTTTCCATCTATAAGACACCTAAATGTATAGGACACCCCCCCCCACTTTTCTTACCCAAAATTCAGAAATCAATATTTTAAACACTAAATAGAAGGCATTTTTATTTAGTGATTAGGCAACGTTTACATAGTAGTACTGTGATATGATGCATCACACTTCGCTCTGAGCAAATCACTTTATTCAGCCTCTTTCACATCACTGGTTTCTCCTTCATCACTTTTAGTTTCAAACATATCAATTTCTTTAACTTTTGTTGCATCACTGCTGTCTGCTGAGTCACTGTCTACATTTATTATTTATTTAAAACTTTTATATGCCATTACCACATGCCTCGGCATCTCGGGATGGCTCACAAATGTACAATTAAAACAATAGAACAATAACAAATTACATAAAATTACATAAAAACAAAAAAGCAACTGTTAACAATAAAATATTAATTTTTAAAACAGCAGTTAAATAAAAAGGTTTTAACCTGGAGCCTAAAAGAATATAAACTCGGCGCCAGGCACACCTCTCCAGGGAGCACATTCACACACACACACACACACACACACACACACACATATAAGACGCCCCTCCATTTTTAGGTAAATATTTTTAAGAAAAAGTATCGTCTTATACACAGAAAAATATGGTATATGGTCCTGAACAATTTCCCCCCACTCAGTGCTCAGATGTGTTGGACTACATCCCCCATCACCCCAGATAGCATGTCCAACATAGCTGGAAAGCATGAGGCTGGGGAGGCCTGCTTTAAAAGGTGAGTGGGAAAGAGGTTTTGTTTCTGTTAAGTCCAGATGAAGTGTTCCTTCGCTCATCCCCTCCTCATCCTCCTAGCCTTTTCTAAAAGCAGTTTTATTCCCAGTGCGGCTTTGTGATCAGATGCTGTTCCCACCAGGAAAAAACAAATATTTCTTAAAATGTAAAAGAAAGCTTAGTCAAATAAAGATTTGTCTCTCTCTCTTCCCTCCCATAGTTTTGTTTTTGCAAACCATCCTGTTTTCACTGTATCCTCCCTTAAGATTAATTCCGTTCTGTTGGAAAATCTTCAACTTGGCCACAGCACTAAGGACCCCAGCCTGGTGCAGGGAGCGCTAGTCTGGGCTGCCTGCTATTCTGTAAGGTAGTCGGTTCCAAGCAGCTGCCTATCAGCACATCCACCTGCAGATGAGCACCCAAATAACCACCTTTCAGGGAGCTCTCGCTCTGCAAATTCTCTATCCAGCCCAAGTTCTATAACCTGCACCTGGTCTGTTCCAGCTGAGCAGAGATACTCCTGTGTTCCCAGGGAAGCCGGCTTCCATCTCCTGGAAGGTGACAAATCCTGGCTCACCCAAGCAATATGTCCTGCAAGTGAGCAGTGTCCCCCACTTTCCGGCAAACATCTCCAGCTCCAGGTAACTTGAGTTAATAAGCAATGCTGGAAGGCACCTGTTCCTTATGTTGGGTCTTAGTATGCCCTAGACTTCCATCAGTGGCCCGCAGATGGGGCAGACAGTCTATATGGAGCATGCACAGAGGGACAGGAGTGATGCATGAACTCGGAGGGTTCTGCTTTTCTTCTGTGGAACTCAAGGTAGCGTCCATGGAGTTGCTAGGTGGTCTCCCGTCGGGGACCTCCTGCTGCATCAGCTGTCTTCAGGCTATAGCCCTTGGCCATGAACGTGCTTTCCACCTCCTGGTGCCTTTGCAAGCTGGTGCACGGCTGCCCGTCTTCTTCCACATACCTCTGAGGTTCTCGTCATTTGGGAGGGTTATTGTAGCCAATACTGAGCTAGATGGGCCAAGGGTCTGACCCTGTATAATGTGCCCATGAGGGGTAATAGTACAACTTGCTTTTCTAACCCACGAACACTTGGAGAGATTGAAAGAATTGGGCTTGTTTCGCCTGAGGAGAGGTATGATCGCACTCCACCAGTACTTGAAAGATTGTCACAGAGAGGAAGACACAGAATAACGGACTCGTTTCAGGAAGCCAGATTCTGGCTAGATATCAGGAAGAACTTCCTGACTGTTAGAGCAGCATGATCTGGGGAGGTTGTGGGCTCTCCCACACGAGAGGCATCCACGATGCAGTGGGACAGCCATCTAATGGCTTAACCTGGCTGAACCTGGAGTCCTGCACTGAGCAGGGGCTGGGCCCTCTGGCCCCTTCCAACTCTGCTATTCTATGAGTTGGTGATTCTGGCAAGTCTTCGAGGAGTGCTTCCAATGGCCTCTGTGGGAAACCTGCAGCCCCCACAAGGCCACATCTTGCTCAGGACATTCATCAACATTATGATCTATAATATTCCTCTCCCTTCTTTACAGACTGCAGTTAAGCCATAACCAGACAGCCACAGGGCAGATCTCCCTGCAGGTCCCTGCTACTGCTGTTCCTGGCTCCCTGCTTACTGTAACCCTGCGGGCCATCACCCTTCAGCCAGCTGGGGACCCAAGCTTTGCCCATGTTCATCTGCTCGTGATGCCTCTGCCTCTGGTGAGTCTTGAGGGCACCAGCTGAAGATTTTGGGGAGTGAGTTATTCGCATTGGCAGCAGTGTCTGGGCCATGTTTCCCATGCCTTATCTTTTCCCTCTGTGCACTTTTTCTGGGAACAAACTGTGTTCCAAACACATGAAAATAGCATTCCCCCATCTTTCAGTTTTCTGGCTCCAACAATGATGAATTAGATGCACAATCTGGGTGAAATGCTGGTAAGCCACACCCAGCTGTGTGATAGGCCAAACCTCTGTGAGTTTGTTTGCTGAATCCTTTGGGGGTTTTGGTTTTGTGAAACCATCTGAATTAGTATCCATCATGACACCTTGCAGTGAATCCCATGTGTCAGTTATGAGTCTAGTAGTATACTCCTGTGCATGCTTACTCAGAAGTAAATATCCAACCTGGTAGCTGAATTCAGGATTGCACCTTGACTAAGGCAACTCTTTGAATTCTCTGTAATGGGACAATTCCTGGGTTTTGTTTCTTTCAGCTTCTCCAGATGAGGCTTGAAACCTGCCACTTTTCAAGCACTAATATCTTGAATGGGTTTTGGAAGTAAATCGGCAGCCAAAATGTTAAGTTTCTAAGAAGTAGAGCAAAATATTTCCGTCTGGCTGTTCTAGCTAAAATTCTGCACCATTGGAACTGGGAGTTCCAATTGGAACTGGGCCTCAGTCAGGCCCTCGTCCACTGCCGCTTTTATTCCGAGCTTTGCAGGCACTGTCTGTGGTGCTGAACCACATCCCCAAATAAGTCCATGAACGTGGAGCACCATGGACAGCTCAGAGTGGATGAGGAGACACCGGACCCATACAGGGGCCACTAGCCTCCCTTCCAAGCCCCATGCGTCACAACTTGGTGTGTAGTGGTTAAGAGCGTGGGACTGGGACTCAGGCGATCTGGGCTCTAGTCCCCCCTCAGCCATGGAGCCAACTGGGTGACTTTAGGCCAGTCACACACTCTCAGCCCAACCTCCCTCACAGGGTTGTTGTTGTGGGGATAAGATGGAGGAGGAGTATGATGTAAGCTGCCTTGAGCCCTTTGTAGGAAAAAGGCAGGATATAAATCACAATGTAAATAAATAAACAAACTTACAGTAGCCCAACATGGAGATTGCCCAAGCTTGGATTACTGTAGTCAGAGAATGTTATCGTGTTGGGTCTTCAGCACTTCTTGATTCCAAGCATTTATGTCTTATATAAAAATCCTGCCTATGCTATAGCCTAGCATAGCACAGGGTGTGCAGTTGTGAACCTGCACACTGTTGTTGGATTTGCTTTTTGCATGTTATTGACAACTGCCACACTGTGGGGAACCCAGCTGGTCTACCAGGAAGGCATTTGGGGAGAAGTGAGGAGCATGCCCAGGGGCTGCGGTTCCTCCATGCTTCGGGTACAGCCCCCTGCTGCCTCACACCCTCAAACCCTCCATCCCGAGATGGCCGAACACATCGCTGCTCCTCTTTGCCCGCAGGTGCAGAGCCACACGGCCCCGCTCTGCAACATCACTTCCCTGAGCGGCTCCTGTGGCCCGTTGGAGCCTTCCTGTCACAGCCAGCGCTGGATGGCCACCATGCGAATCTGGGACCAAGCCGGCCTCCGCTCAGTGCAGGTGGACGGCGGCCCGGCACTTCCTCGCCAAGCTGACGGGCCAGCGGAGCTGGTCACCTACGCCTCGGACTGCTGCTCGCCAAGTGCCGAGCTGGTGGTCACCAACCTGTTTGGGGAGGAGTATCGGTGCCAAGTGGCAGCACCGCCCGCTCCCCTCCCTGGCAGGGCAGCGGCAGCAGTGCCCTCTACTGTCGAGAGCGCAGGGCCCGTTGCTGCCGCCACCACCATGAGGGGGTGGCTACTGCCTGTCCTGGTGACAGCAAATGGGCTAGGCTTGTGCGACTTCACATAACTCCACGCTGTCATTAAGGATGTGACAACTGGGGGTGCTGGAGCGCATGGGCATTCTCCCGACTTCGCTTCGGAGCTCACTCCCCTTCTAGTCTGCAACTGTTCTGGGGTTGATTCAAATGGGGAAAAGTTGTTGCAGTTTGAAAAAATGGTTCATTTTGGCAAATCATGTTTGGGAACTTGAGGACGTTTCTGGAGAGCATGTGCTGCCATTCCTGTTTGTGTTCAGGAATGGTAAATGGGGCTTCTTCGAGCGATTTGCAAACTGGAACCAACTTATCTTGCATCTCTCGTAATAAGGTGAGGGCAGAACTCTCCCTGTAGAGGCTGCCCTCTGCTGAGGTGTTGTGATAGCAGGTGAATGGACTTGGGGGAAAATAGAAAAGCTGAACACAAGGGCAGTTCCTGAACTCTGGGCTCCTGTGGAAGAAGCAGAGGATATTCCACGAAGGGACTACTGACGCATATTGCACTGAAATTCACAGGGGGGTGATATTGTCATTATCCCGGAATCTCAATTTGAGAAGAGGAAATAAACCTAGGGTTCGTGGGAAAGATCAAGTGTCCAGACCATCCTGGCTTTATTGTCTTACCCAGGCTCCCACGGTAGACTCTCACGATAATGCATTACCAGGCAGGCAGAGGTGAACTCTGCTGCCAAGCTTCAACACAACTACAGGGTTTTTATACCCTCCCAGGTACAGGGCAATTGATGACAGAATGCAAAGATTACAATAAGATTCTGAGGTCATCACATACAGAACAGATAAAGAAATGTCAGTCAATCACACTGTAACAATGAGATTACAATATTTCTAATTGCAGTGTATTGACACTTTAGTTGAGTAACTTGAACCCATCTCCAGGTCTGCTTAGGCATGTAAATTCAAGCTACTGAGAAACTATTCATGATAAGCATAGACCCTTATCTAGACTCTAGACATCCTGAATGACCAGGGCACATGAAGCCCTCTGGGCTAGGAAGATACTTCCTTGTAAAACTGAATTCCAACAATGATTATTTAACAATTGTGAAGGTATACAATGTAAATTTGGACTAAATGGCCTGTGTACTGTAGCTTACAGCTAAAGGTGAGAGAAAGGAGCGGGGGAATGCCATTTTAAACAGTGACAGCTTGGTTTTGAGAAGGAAGACAGGATTTGATGCCACAATGCAAAAGCACACAGAAGTAATGCTTTTCGGACAGGATTTATCCAAATTTTCCCAACAATATGCAGAAGCCCCGAATGGGCTTTTACCTGGTCTGTGCAGCTCTGAAGTCTGACCTTAACAGTACTGCTAGATATAGGCCGAGTCGTTCTGGTTTTCATATGGAGAGAATGTGAGCGTATGAAGTCACCTTCCCTCGAGCAAGTCCATTGGTCCACATGGCCCAGTGTTGTTGGTATGCCGGGTTACGACTCTGCAGTGCCTCTGCTGTCATTTAGGGCCTGGCAACTTGAGGTGGCAGGACGGAAACTGGGGCCTCCGCATGCTTGTGCCACAGAGGTATGACTGCTCCCAGGAGGGAGTGCCCCCAGGCCTGTCAGGCTCCGGACCCACGATCTTGCTGCTAGGAGTTACATACCCTGAATGGCATTCCCGGTCTTGGGGTTACTAGTCCCAGGCTCTGAGCTGGTCATGTCTCTTGCACCCTTCCCACTTGAACTTGTCCGTGCCCTCCTCTTTCTGTTGTTTTCCCTCAGCTGATCCCTGCAGTCTCTGCTTGTCTGTCGCAAATCTTTTGACCTTGCTGTCAGAAGTTTCTTTCTTTCCTGTCAAACAGACACAGGGTGCTTCCTGATGAAGCAAGGTAATGGCAGGCCAGTCGCTGGCCTCTTTCATTCAGAACCCTCCTGTACTTTTGTAATGCTATATCTAGTTTTTCTCCTATTGCAGATAATTCATTAAGAAAGAAACAGCAGAAACAGAATAGCTGTGCAGGGCCTTCTCCCTGGCTGCAACCGCCTTGCCTGGAAGGACTCACTGCCTACGGCATCTCTTTTGCCAGTGCTTTGTAAGCATCAAAGCTGTTTCTGCTTTGGGCCTTTTTTTGCCGGAGGTGCAAGCATACAGGAAAAGTAACCCCCAACTTCCACATGCGTGCAGTGGGATTGGCTAGGAATTTGTGGTGCATAATTGTGTCCTTATACTCCACAAAATGCATGGAAGTCTTAATTTTATGTCATAGGTTTAAAAAGTAGACATTGAGATTTTTTTTAAAATAAAAGGTGCAATTGTTGATGCACTGTTGACAGAGTAATGCAGGGAGGCCAGGGCTGCTGATGTGATTAAAACATGCACACACAAAGTGTCTGAGATATATGCATTCATGCATACACACTTATATACATACATACTAGGCCCATCTATTATCTACCCCTGTTGTATTGTACTTTCTGTGATTTTGGTACCAAGTCAGCAGAAAACAAACCAGATCATTTTTAATTCATTATAATTCTCTAGTTGTTGTAACTAGAATTTTTGCAGGTTTCTTACCTAGGGGATCTCTCTCTGACAGTATGCCATTTTCAAACAAATTGCCCACATTTTAACGCTCTCCTTCTACAAAGAGGAGAGGGGGTCAAAAATGCTGCATCTAAGGCATCTGTTCTTCTGACATTTTGTAATTGTCATTTTCATAACATTTATGCACAAAACATGGGATTGAGTGAGCGTTCTTTTTTAGAAAAAAAACTTCTAAAGTATAACAGCTCCTCTTGCAGTAAGCTCCTTGCAGTTATTTTTTTCAGTTTTGGTGGACTTAATTCCCTCATTAAAAAAAAATCATGTGGCTGCAGATTTCCTCTGACTCTGAAGAATAGAAAAAAAAAGTTGGAGCCATTTTGTTTTCCTCCATGGTTGATTGCATTTCTGAACCAAGAGCCAAAACCGAGTAGATGCAGTCAGTCTGCAATTTGTTCTAAACTGAACCAACAAATTCAGCATTTGAACAGAATCTTGTGCTTGGTACACAACCTTAATACGTATTAACTACGCATATTTTACAACATTTTCCAGCAGGTTACCTGTTGTCTGTATGGTACACACACCTTTATTCTTCTAAGTAACATGACCACCTGTATCATCTTGGTTCACATGTATGAACAGAGTACAGGTTGAGCATGGGGCCTTGTTGAATGATGGGTTCTGTTGAAATGCTGGTTGTCATTACATACAAAGCTTGCACTGTGGTTTAACTCTGGTCATTAACCATGCATTCACAGCCAATCAGCAATTTACTGTTTCTTTTCCTGGGTTTTCTTCCTGCTGCTCTGCTGTGCATATCACCTTCTCTACTTTCTCTTCTACATTCTCTTCACACCCCTTTGACACCCCTTTCTCACTATGGCCAAATATAAGAGTTTTTACAGGCAATGGTTGTTGTCAGGATCCTTGCTGCTGTGATGCTCTCTTCAGGTATTCTGGAAATTTGCCTTTCTCTTGCTTCCTCCCATGTGCCAGGATGCAGGCTGCTCTGGGGCTCCATCTGCCCACCTCAGTATTCACAGCCCCTCAGTTTCCTGATGAGCACCAGTTGGAAGCCCTGGGAAAGAGCTACAAAAGAGAGGGCTCTTCCCTACAGAGCTGGCCTCAACAACACAGGTCTGCCTGTGTGCCCTTGGGCCTGCATCTTGCCTCACTGTTTGTATCGTGCCTCGCAGCCTCACCTCAGCAATGTGGGTCTTCCCATTTGCTGAAGTACTTGCATCTTGCCCGACCAAATCCAGCCTCACTGTTGTGCCTCAGCGCTGCAGGTCTGCTTCCTGTTAGCTGTGGTGGGTTCAGCTCCTGACTGGAGTCTTGTTGCTTTTGGTTCCCACTGCATAGCTTGCCTTGCTATCTCACCTCCGCAACACAGGGCTTCCTGCAAGGAGCAGTTCAGCTCCTGCATCTTGCTTGACCCTCACCCTTCCTCACCTGCACCTCTGCTTGTCTTCCTGGATCTTGACCCTTGGCTTGTTCATGACCATTGCCATGTCTTGCCTTTGGACATACTTCTGGTTCCTGACCTCAGGCTGTTCTACTTGATCTGGACTTGCTACAGAGCCTTGCGTTTGGATTTTGGATGCAGTCTCGCCTTGGGTTCTGCTGCCCGGTCTGGGTGCCTCCGTCTGGTCTCCTTCTGCTCCTGTCCCGGTCCCCGAGAGTGTGTTCTGTGCACCGCCATCCTGTCACAAATCCCATTTCCTCTGTGTTTCCGTGTCTCGGACACTTCACCCCCAGAAATCTACAACCTGTCCACTAACCTATGTGCCACAGCTACAGCTCTGCTTCTTGCAGCCATTCTCCTGAGGTTAACTCCCCCAAGTCTGCTGCCACCACACAGGCCTCAATCACGACTCCTCTTTTCTGCTGCAGTCTAATAAAGTCCAGTAATAAATTCAGCAGTTCCTTTAACAGAAATGGAAAATGAAAAGGCCCACACCAGCCCCTTCCACTGTTCCCTTTGTGGCAGGCTTGCTGGCAGCCATTTAGATCAATGTAATTAAAGTAACCTAACTGTATTTCTGTTCAGCAAGCAACTGCGTAGAACACGGCCTATAGGCTGTTTCTTTTATTTCCATAAAGTTAAAAAAAGTCTAGACACAATTTTAAGTATGAAAGCTGAACATTCGGAGGCGGCCTCGGAGCATGCCTGAGGGGAGCTGTCCCCTTGCTGTCCCCTGTGCCTATAGCCCTCCAGCGCTGGTAGAACCATGGCCTAGAAGAAGCTTCTGGAAGCCTCCGTGTGGCTTTCATGCCAAGCACAGAGTCTTGCACGCTCTCGCTTTCCCGTGTTAACAGACATTGCGCTCCTTTTCTTCTACTTCTGAGTCATAGCGCCAAGTCCGCAGGGTAAAGTCCGCTGGGGTTTAAAGCCAGCCCCTCTATTGCTATCTTGGCAGGGGCCAGGTAATCAACATTTGCAAAGGCAATCGGTTCTCTACTTTTTACCTTCCTTTCACCTTGGTGTGCAGGCCAGGATGGCTTGTCTTGATGAAGAATTTGGGATAAACCTCTGGTAGATTAGGGGTCGGTTCTTTCTAGAAATGTCATACGTAAAGGAGTCCAGCCAGAACAGGCCCGCTCTACCCTTCCCCTGCTGAGAAAATGATTTTCTTTTTTCCTCATCCACAAGGCATTTACATAGGCATTTGATCCACTCTTGGCATTTCTTCTCTATCAGTCTCCCCCTGCCCCCATATTCCTTTCAGTAGCTGCAACTCTTAACAACCTTTCCAAGACTCATGCATGGAGATACTACACAGGATTGATTGCCTTCACCCTTTCAATGCCAAGTGCAGACTCTCATTGTCTTAGGGAGGTATGTGTGGATTCTGTAAAACTGGCTAACACAGAAGTTTGGTGTATGGGTTGAATGCGTGTGTGAATGTACTTTCAGCCCTGTTGAATTCTGCATTCAGATATTCCCCACATCATGATGGGAATGGAGAGGTCAGCATAGCAGAGAGTAAGAATTTGCATCTGCTCCAAACAAGGCCTCATTCTTAGATCAGACTGCCCTCTCTCCACCTATTTAGAGTCAAGGCCCAGGCAGCAGGTCCTTAAATGCACCCAGGAAAGTCTGGTCGCGCACTTAAATTATTGCCTGCTTTGTCTTCAGTCTTCTCTTTAACTTCATAGCAACCACAAGGGGGCGCTCCTTGGACCATGAAGGCAAAGATGGTGGAGTGTGTCAGTCAATCCTAATGTGGGCTCCCGAGCAACCAGCTAGGCCGGTCTTTTTTACCCCTCTCTGGAAGTGCTAATATCAGCTGGGAAAAGCAAAGCAAATTTCAATTAGCAGTTCTTTCTCCGCCGCTGAAGTAAAATAGAAAGGTCTTAGGGAGCCGGTCACAGCTGCCTCGTATCATGAGCTGCCGGGACTCAAGCTGGATGCCCATTTTGCTGTAAGGTGGGAGCTTCTTTGTGTGAACACTACTCCAAGCCCCATAATCCCTTTCAGGTAAACTTGATCTGTACAATTTTTCCTACTGGCTTAAATCTCTCTCTATTTTTATGCATATTATATTTTTATTCCCAGATGTTTAGTTTTTGCTGTATAACATGAATGTTTTGCACATGTATTTATGTATATATAGTTGTTTCTTTAGTGTTTAAAGATACTTTAACATTTTTAGTCTGCTGTCAATAAACTCAATTGCAATTGAGTTTTGAATCCTTAACTATTCCATTTTTGAAGTGTTGAGTGTTTTTTTCTACCACCATTTTTCCACTGGGGGGCAAGTTTTAGAAGCTTATGTGGATAATTCAGTGCAAAGATACTTGCTTTTTAATCACATGCCTATTTCTGTCATTTTATATAAGAATATTAGAATAAATACAGACTGTTAAAAGGGTATGGGCAGGTAGGGAAGACTGGTGGAAGTGAAAAGGAAGTAAAAGGGAGACAATCCAAAGGCTAATGTAGAGTTAACATTCAGCTTAAGAGCAGAGAGTTGTTTGATATTCTGTTCAAGCCAGCAAGAGGCCTTTGTGCCTTTTATGATGGGGGGAGGTCTGAAGAAAAATAGCAATTCCTGTGCCAGTTGGTGGCTGCTGGCAATGCTAAGAAAGATGATCATGGTTGCCAACATAGGTTTAGTTGTCCAACAGATAGAATAGGTTTTAATGGAAAGGTCAGGGATGAGGTAGGTGTGAAGGCACCATGAAAGAGCTTCTGAAGTAGGACTTCAAGCCTTATCATATTACCGGTTTTGCATGTCAAAACTGTATGAACACCTTAGAGCTGGTGTGGTGGTTAGTGTTGGCCTGGTGACCCGGGAAATCCAGGTTCTAGTCCTCACTTGGCCAGGAAGCTCACCAGCCACCCTACCTCACAGGGTTGTTGTTGTGAGGATAAAATGAAACTATGTGGGTTGTCTTGGTTCCTCACAAGAGGGAGAAGGGCAGTACAGAAATGCAATACAACAACTAATAGTTGAGTTGGGAGTGCAAAGTGGGTGTCACTAGAAAAACAATTCCCAGTCAAATCCCACCTTTATTTAACAAAATACTCACTACTGAATGGCGGGGGGGGGGGGGCTAAATGGGCAGGTAAAAATATCGCATGGCAATTCTAAAGGTGACAGGTAGCACAAACAAGTATTTATGGCATTTTCACCCCATAATGAAATGGGTTGAAAGAGTCATCCTTGGCTTGTTTGATGGGAAAGTGGAGAACTGACTAATACGAGGTGAGACCATTTCTCCATCTAACTCTTTTCACACTAACAGCAGCTCTCCAGACAGGAGGCCTTCCCATCACACCTCCTGTCAGCTTCTTTTTGGAAACTTCCCCAAAGTAAAAGAATTAAAAGAACCGGAAGTTAGGGCTGCCTGTCATGATGGCTCCAATATTGGAAGCCCTGTGGCTCAGCATACCAGTTGTAGAGGAGGGTGTGAATGTCCTGCTTGTGGGTCTCCCTTTGGGGCACCTGGTTGGCTACTGCGGGAGCAGAATGGTGGCTTAGACAGCATGCCGGTCTGCTCCAGCAGAGTTGTTGTTCTGTCATTTGACTGACTTCGCAGCCACTCCAGGTTTATCGCAGTGGAGGATTCTAGAAAATAATATGAACTGCCCCTTTAATAAGGACATGACCTTTTCAAAGAGAAAAATGAAAGAGGAAATATAACAGAACACTATTAAACTGAATTAAGGAAGCAGATGTGATGTGGTGGCAATATGTCTACAACATTGACTCCATCCACAGAAATTACATCCTAAAAGAGAGGGAATATAGAGCTAGGTGAGGCTAGTGAGTGCAACATCTGGGAATGAAGCTCTGTCACCCCGTTTTATATTTTTGCTCCATCACAGATATTTTTGTTCTCAGTTCCAATCGCTGCAGAACAGCCAACCACACTGACCTGATGTGAGGGTGAAGAAGAGAAATACAACCAAGTGTTTGTAAATTAAAAGAGCACTACAATTAGCCAGAGTGAGACCAGATCATTTGACAAACAAGGACAGAATTAATATATTCACTCTCTGAAGGAATGCCTTGCTGTTGTTTTGTTTTTGGTGTGGGAACAGGGACAGCACTCAGCATCCAGGAGATGGTACGCAGGAGGAAGCAGTATCAGTACTGATATACTGGGGAACAAGCGAGACAGGAGTTCTGGAATCCTGCATCACTGCAATTGTGCTACAGGTTGTGAAATTTTCTATCTTAATGCAACATCTTCAATTTGTTTTAAGGAAATGAAGTTCTCGGCCTCACACCTGGAGCATGTTGGCCTGAGCAGGAGAGGGCCAGAAGTGGGTCAATACTGTCTCATTGCTGTGACTCTCTTCTTTTACAGACCAGTTTCCTTTCACAAGCTCTTTTCCATAAATCTCAACGGCCTGTGTTTCCAAAATAACAATAATCTCCCATCTCAAAGTTTCTCTTAAATAATTTTTGCAATTATGCAAACCAAAGGAAAATACGCACATTAAGTCAAGAGGAATGCTTTCCTAAAAGGTGGCATAACGTGTACCCCTGAAGAATTGAGGTTACTGCAGTCACATTTGCGGAGAAGATTGCTGCTGAAGGCAGATGTAATGGCATAAAAAAGAAGACGACAATAACCTCCTGGGCCAGAAAACTTTGGTGGAAAGATGGTCATTTGTCTTGGGCTCAGAGAAGGAAGTGATGGCACAGGCATTGCGCACAGAGAAAAGTTGTCACCATATTCACTGTTGACCTGGATGGTTAAATAAAGGTGGACTCCTTGTGGCTGGGTAGTCGGTAACCTCGGCTCTCCTTCAGTTGCTTGCACAGCGCTGCTTTTTCTTGTTCCAGCTGGGCAATGCGGTCACTTTTTTCAGACACTTCCTGTTAGCCAGGCAGATAGACAGTATTATGATAACATAACCATTATTCCACTAGTGCCGCCTCCTCCAGGAAGGCCATTTTGTTGTGCGAACCTTTCAGAGCAAGCTTGTTTGGATGTTCCTCACCTTCCCTGGAGCAACACTTGTCTCATATTACTATGGAGAAGACTGGATTTTAAAATGTTAGCATTCTGGGTGAAAATGTGAAAGATTAAATGTGTGTTAAAGAAGACACACTGATCTTCTAAATATGAAAATGGGGCTTCTAGATGAGATGTGAGTTTTAGCTTCAAAGTATTACTTGCTATTTCAAAATCTTGACAGCCAAATTCCTAGGAGTCAGAATACGTATTTCAGTGTACAAGTTCTGTATGCAGTTTTGCCCAATACATACAATTTCTGTAAGCAATTTCCCCCAACCAAGGCGTTCTGAATATTTTTTTAATATTTGCATTCTTTTATCCATTCTTTGATTGGAGAGATCAACAGCAAAATTTAAAGGCATAATGGTGAGGCTTAGTGCCCTGTAGATGGCCTTCTTGGCCCCTTCCAACCCTACTATTCTATCAACATATGAATTTTAAGGATAGTTCAGTTTGCATCATGTATTGGTTCAAAAGTGCAGAAGTAGGTAAATTCCCCTGTGTGTGTTTGTATGCATATAGATATGTAAAAATTCACAGATACACACACAGAAGATCAGCTTATAGAGTTTTGCTTTACCTTGATCAGTAGGTGGTTCTGTTCTTTGAGGACAGTGACCGCTTGCTGGTGAAACTCCTTTTTTCCTGGTGAATAAAGGGGGACCCCAAAACCACCCAGCGGAACTTCAGTCTGGAGAAGAGAAAAATCCACATAACCTTGTGAGTGACTCCTCTCCACTGCCATCGTAAGTGTTACTTTGCTCTAACAGTGTTGCTAAGCAACATCCTTCCTCGGGCCCTTGCGCTGCTGAAGAGGCACACTCACTAGGTTTTGACAGAAAGGTCAGGGATGAGGTAGGTGCGAAGGCACTGTGGAAAAGCATCATCAGTGGCACTGTGGGCCTTCCCATATCACCAGTTTTGTAACAGCGTATGAACATCCAACAGGGCCACGAGGCCTTCACCTTCGTGCTTTTACATGCATGCCATACAGTCAAGACACTGATCTGTAGGTGGCCGATGGTGACCCTGCCCTTCAAAATTAGGGACAGCGGTACCCAGAATTCCATGCACATCCAAGCCATTTGGGCCAGACTAGATAGGATATTAATGGTACGAATGCATTAACATCTATGGCTTCTGTAATGTAAATGGAAGTCAGGGAGGAGTAGCAATCTCGGAACCCCTTAAGAAGGGAGTTGAACCCTTCCCCTCCTGCTGTGGCCCCAACAAAACCCATCTCCCTTTGAAGGTGCTAGCTGGATGGGGAGCAGCAGTTCGGTACTTCAGACCAAGAATGAATCCACAGCCTCTGGGGTTTCCAAGATGATAGTAATCCCTTCCCGAGATCACCATCCCTACAATTTGGTAGTATCCTGGCTTTGGTGTGATTTCCTTCCCGTGCTAAGATACTGAAGTGCCTTTCATGAGATTGAGTTACTATCAGTAAGAGCTTACCATTAAAATAATGTTGGCTTTTTAATATTCTGGACCCACCCAAACTGGAAAGCAACCTGCACAACTTCTCTGAAATTAAATTTGGCCCTAGGCTGAAACAGGTCCAGAAACCCTGCAGCTGAGGCTTCCTTTATGATCCGTGTTCAAAATTGTGGCAGGGAGGGGAGTGAATTGCCTTACTCCTCTCTTTGCAAATGCGTAAAGAGGATTTAGTATGACTTGAGGGCAGCTGTATTTAAAACTGTGTCTCGAGGGGAAAATAGTAAGGTTACAGCAACAGAAGACAGGCAGTCTTCTAAGGGGCACCTTGGAAGGAAACCTGGAACAGGAGAAAAAGCTGGGCCTGGAAGGGGTTAAATCTATGAACGTGATATGGGAGGAAGAGACCGAGGGGCCCAATGGCAGATGAACCAATATGGGGGGAAGGAGCAAGAACTCAGAGGGGAGGGGAGACAAGGGGAGGGAGACAGATGGAGAGTTTTGAAGTGAGGTCTCGCAAGAGGCTGAAAGGGGTAAGTGGCAGGATTTGTTGACCTTATGGCTAGATACGGAGGACAGCATTTCCTTTCTTATTCCACGATCGGCTCAAAGGCAAAAAATTAAAATCTTCCCTCTCTCTATCTCTCCCCATATCTCCCTCTCCCCCCCACACACACCCCATCTGTTGGAAGTTGTCCCTTGCACTGAAATGGACAGGAGCACAGCTAAAGCTCCTGCTCGTTCCTATGAAGTGGGGCCAGCCCTACCATTAGGCAAAGTGGGATTACAACCTCGGGCATCCGAAGCGGGGAGCAGTGGCAGCAGCCTCCCTGAGGCTCCTTCTGAGCCCCACTGCTCCCTTCTCTTGGAGGACAGGGCTGTGCATGTCCCACATCTGTCCTAGGTCCCCCGGTGAGGCTGCTGCCCTCAGAGGCCATGGAGGACGCCATCCCATCGCCAGGGTTGCAGTGAGATTCAGCTCATTCTATGGATGGGATGAGGAGGGGAAGCCATCCCACCTTTGCTCCAGGCAGCCAAAAGTCTTGGCCCATCCCTCCCAGGAGGCTCTCCCTCAGCAGGTCAGAGTTCCCCCTTTCCCTTCTGCCTCCCATTAATGGGACTTTTGCAAGTCTTCCACCCAAGGCAGTCGCTTCGGCCTGCCTTGGCGGGGGTGGCCTTGGCCTCACACCGCCAGCCCCCCATACCCTCAGCCCTCCTGACCTTTCCAGGAGAAGTGAGCAGATTTTTCAAGCACAGATTCACTTCCTGGATCTTGGCCAGCAGCAGGCAGCTCTGGTTGGCATAAGGGTCGGGGAAACAGGTCTGCAGTGGTGCAACAAATAAAAACACTCAACTCGTTATTCAAGTGCATTGAATTCAAAAGAGAGAGCGCGCACGAGCGAACACCAGGATGTGGGGCAACTTGTCTCCTTCCAGGTAGACTCGGCCTGCAGCTCCCATCATGTCTTGCTACTGGCTATGCCAACTTGAGCTGATGGAAGTTGCAACCCAGCAAGACCTGGAAGGCCACAATTTGCCTCCTCAGCTTTATTCTGTGTGTGATAAATGTGTGGATTTAGTCCATTACAAGTAACTGAAATAATTTCATATCCCTTCTCAGTGTTAACTCCTGACCCCACAATTTTAGATAGTAATCTCCTTGGGGCAGGGAACTGCCCTCTTGTACTCCATAAGCATCTTACATGCTGACGGCAAGAACAGCAAGAGTTTTGCGGCTGTGCAGTGGATGTGTAAGTTCTCTTTTGGTACCTTCTTAATTCATAGGAGATCTCTTGCTACCCCTGCTGGCAAAACTCTGCCATTTTCTGGATGTGTGGTTAGTTTTAACCCTTCCAATGTTGTCTGGGGCCCCCACGAAATTAGTCAAAGCTCCAGCTCCAAGGCACTGTGATCACAGAGCTGGGACTGCAAAAGCAGCCATCTACAGAAAGTTTATAGCACAAGGTGCTACTGCTCCGCCTGAGCCCGTGCATTGGATGCACATCAGCCCCTGAGTTTGGAGGCTGATACGGACTCATAGTGGAGGCCATCATATCACTCAATTACACGCTGGGCTTTCTGGGCAGGGATGCCCCTCTGTGAATCCACCACCTGCGCAAGGCAGGACTGAGCTATCTGGGGCCTTAGCCCAACCTTCCGTCCATAAGGATCCAACACACGTGCACGTACCGCCTCAGCTCCCATGTGTGTCTGGCGTCTCTGGGCCTCCAGCAGGTGGCGCTGGAACCAGTCGCGCACCTGGTCCACCATCTCCAGCCCCTGCAGCAAGACGTCCCGCTGCCGTTCCAGCTCCTGCATCTGCTTCAGCTGCGAGTCAGAAAAGAGAAGCGGGGCTTCAGGCTGGTGTTTTCAGGGCTGCAGGGAAGACTCAGAAACCTTTGAAAGTGGAAGAACAGCGAACTGTCTCCCGATTACTTCAGGACTATCATCTATGGTGCTGAAAGCCAGCCTTCCCCAAACTTGTGCCCTTCAGTGGCAGCCAGTGCAGCCTTTCCTTTGAGCTTTATAGGATCCATCCATGGTGCTCCATGCTGATGAACCGATACTGGGGATGGAGTTCAGCACCTAGGTTAGCATCTATAAAAGTCCTATCGTGCTCAAAATAAAAGCTGCAATGGGAGAGAAGTCCAGCTGCAATGGAGGGGTCTCCATCCCCCCCCTCTGGGTGCTTCAGAGGATGAAAGTCCAGCAGTGCCTGTCAGCCCCAACAAGCAGGCGTGCTGAAAGTTCACATGCAACTGGGGGAAGGCCGCGTTACCCCCGCTCTCCCCAAAACACAGTAGCAAGAGCACCGTGCCTTAAGGAGTGGACCAGGAGCCTCCTTGCTGGGGGAAAGCCAGTGCCGAGTGAAGGACATAATCAGCATTGCAGTGAGATGGCAGATCACTTGACGTGCGTACTTCCCAATTTAATTTCCAGTACCTTCAATGGAAACAATGGAGCAGCGGGGCTGGTTTTATCACCTGGGTGGCTGTACACATGCCTGGATCATCCAGAGATTCTGCAGTTGCTTTCTGCACATCAGGGAGCAGAGGCCTCAGACAGGGGCTTGCTAAGCTCTTAAAAGATTTGGTGTCCAGGCCCATAAAACACAACTCTATATAAAATCTGTATGTGCTGACTTGTATTTTATCTCCATATTGAGAAGTAGCTACTAGGATTTATTTCTCTGTCACGGGAGGCAAATAAGCTCAAGTTGTCCTGCAGGGGTAGATTGGAGGCAGAGTTGACGCCTGGTGTGAGGAGAGTTAACCCTTGAAAAAAGAGATTCCAAGAATCCACCAGCCAATTATATCTGCTTTGTTAATGGCGGCAAAAATGGGTATTGCCCAAACCTGGAATAAGACACAATCAATCACATATTCGATCAACCAGCCCAGCAATGTAAACCACTGTGCCCCCAGTGTAGAAATTTTGTTCTGTTAGTTTGTGAGTTATTGGTGTGATGATACAGATTTTTGTGCTACTTATTCTGTCTGATAATTTAATGATATACATATAAATGTGGTATTATGAGCATGATTTGGCTGAATACCTGGTATATCTGAGGGTCTATATTGAGTGTTATATCAACATTTGCATTAATTATTTTTAAAGGATTATTAAACCTTGAAAGCTGTAATGCCCTCTGAAAAATGCCCCTGTGTGGCAATTAAACTAAGATTTAAAAAACAAACAAACAAACAAACCTTCCATTGGTTCTGAAGGGTACCCAAGTCTTTGAAACAGAGGTCTAGAGCCCGGGGAGGGAGCTGCAAGGTGGAGGCCCCACAGGTGCAGCCCTAGCCATGACTCTGGCCTCCAAGGCAGGGTTGCGGGTAGGGCCCCTTACATGTATTTACTCATATTAGTAGCAACTACTTTGTAATATCATCAAAATATGATGATATATGACACTTCCCAGATTCTATGAAGTTTTCTGTATTTTTCTGTGTTTTTATTGCTGTTTTATTGCAGTAAAATGTTGTACATATGCCCAATTTAATAATATGGTTTTTATTGTGTATGTTGTTGTTATATTATCTATTTTGTAACATGCCCAAAGAGTCAGCTTGGCTAATGGATGCGATAAAAAATAAATAATTAAATAAAATACATTAATGTTATCCATATTAGTATTATTATTTCTATAGCAGCGACGTGGATGTATAGGAGGCTTCACAGAGTAAAATAAGCACATGCACAAAAGTTGTCCCGGTGCTAAGAAGGTTACAATCTGCGGCTTGACAGTAGGGGGAGACAAGAGGGAAAGAGAGAGCAAGAGAGAGAAGGAGAAAGGGGTGGGAACCCGAGAGAGACGAGAAAGAGCAGGAGCAGATGGAGCTTAGATGTGGCTGTGCTGCACTTTGGTTTGATGGGAGAGCCAACCAAAAATGAAAGAAAAGGAGCTGTGGATTGGGGTGAGCGAGGGAGGTCATGCTGTGCGGTCGCGGGATGGGAATTACAGGCACCGGAAGTAACAAAGGAGAAGGCAAACGGGGGCTTTGGAAGCAGGATTTTAGGCAGCAGAAGGTCGTATGATTTAGAAGTGTGTATATCAAAGGCGGAAGGAAAAGGATGGGACATGGAGGACTTTAAGGCAAAGACAGGGGAGTTGTACTGGATGCTGTCAGGGCTCAGAAGCCAGAGAAGCAGTATGTTATTTTAAGATAGGTTCCGGTGTTAATATAAAATAACATGCGGACTAATATCAAGACTGGTACACAAGGCAACTTGTAAATATAATTTATAAGCCCCAAATCATAATCAGAACAAAATACCATTAAGCAAAGCATCACTTTATAACAGCAACATAATTAAGCCGGGGAGAACAACTGAAGAAAACAGGTACTAAAAGGAATACCAAAAAAGGAAGGGAAGGAATATAGGCTTGACTTTATCTCCAGAATACATGGGAAGACAGGCATTGCTGGCCTTCCTGAGGAGCAAATTCCAAGGACTTGGTGCCACTACAGAAAAGACCATGCTTTGTGCTGCAATCATATGCACATTGTGCCTAGGCAGAGCACACACCAGGAAACCTCCAGCAGACGTCCACTGATGAGGAGGTTCATATGAAAGAACCTCATATCCATGGGGTTTCATGCATCATGCAGCTTTCATTATGAGCTAAACACTGCCCGGGTCTCTGGGCATGGAGCAGAGTCTAGGGAGATCAGCACGAGGGTGTGTGTGTGTGAGAGAGAGAGAGACCCCAGGCGCCCGCTCCCATCTCACTCACCCAGAAGAAGAACTGCAGAGCCTCCAGACTGCCGAGGGCCGTGCCCAGCGGGACGATGAGTATGGTGTAGCCCCTCTGGACCGCCATTGTGGTGCTGTGGTGGTGGGTAGGCAGCAGTGCCCAGAGCAGGAGGGGCGGGGGCCACCCCAGCATTCCAGCAGGGCAGGGAGGTGTCCTCAGATCACCCCCACATCAAGCGGGGAAAGGCTTCTGGGGGCAACCTCACTCGGACAAGTGAACCTTGCCTGGCCACCCTTTGCTTTGCCCACCCGTGTCTCTCCTAGTTTCAGTCCATTGCACCTCCGGAGAGCAAAACCCGCCTAACCCTATTATAACACCACACACCGACAGCCCTAATTCTTTCAAACTTCCCCCATTTATTTATCTTTTACCTTGCCTTTTGCCAAAGAAGGGCACTCTGGGTGGCTAAGGTTAACACGCAGAGCAAAAAGGCAGCCTTAATTAGAGCACGGTGTTAAAAACCAACAAAAGCCCTGTTTTTCCCCGGAACCTTTTGGGGCCCCGGTTCTGCCTCGCCCAGCACGCCTTGCCACTGGCCCCATTTAGTTCAAGGCACTTCCACCACCGGGGCCACCGCTGCCTGCCCCCAGCCACCCCCACTTGGCTGTGGCCTTCCCCTTCCCCACCGAGCTGCCCTCGCGCCCCAGCCTTCCGGCAACTCTTCTCCCGGCACTTGCGCCACACGCTCCTCTTTTCCTTCAGGATCAGCAGCGCCGTTCTCCACCTTCCGCACTCCTTCGCCTCCTCCACACCAGCCTTCTGCATCCACAGTCCTTCCCCCAGCATGTGCGCCGCCTGCTTTTCCCAGCCCGGCCGTCGCCCTCTTCACCTCCACACCCGCTTTCCCCCAGCTCGGGACCCTTCCCAGCTCCGAGGGAATCGACGTGTCCGGAGCCTCCCCCTCCCCGTTTGCTGAACTCAGCACCTCCCAGGCATGCGGGGATGAGCTCTAAAGCCTCGGCTACCTCGGACAATGGTGGCCCTAATCCCAGTCTTTCCAGCTGGCCGCATTGATTTGGGGAGCAAGGAGAGGGGAGCAGAGGGCCAGCATCGCCACAGGATTAATGTCTGTCGCTTCGTTTTTGGTATCCTTTGAACCACCAAGCCCTGACTAGAGACATTTTAAATGTGTCTCCTTATTTTGGGTTCCACCTCTTAGACCCAACCAGTCCCTGGAAACGGCTAATGTCACAAGCAGTGTAAAAACGAGATGAAGGCGCTCATTCACAATCAACTAAATTGCACTCTCATTTCCCCCTGAGCCTTATCCATCTTGGCTGCTTCCGGCTCTGCCCCTCATGCAGAAAATCCAATAAGAAGGGAAAAATGGAAGGGCCGCAGAAGGACTCCTGGTTCCCAGGCAAAGCCCCCTCCACAACCCCCCTCCCTCAGCGAGCCTGCCTTCTGGCTGGCATTCCCACCGACTGCTCCAGTGCCTCTCCCATCAGGGCTGCCACGTGCTCGCCCGACTCACAGACAACTGGTGACAAAGCAGGCAGTGGGGTCCACGGCTCCTCCCCCCCCCACATTGCCTGGGCCAGAGCCTTAACGAGCAGGTTGCCATAATGACGAGGAGGAGCCATTCCAAGGGCCTCTTGCTCAGGTATGGGCCCTCTGCAAGGGCCCGTCCAGGCCCACCCTTGAGGTCAGTCCTGATCTTAGCTGGAGGCATCGGCTGACATAGCCAAGTTATGGAATCCACTGCCAAAGAACGTGGCAACATAGCCTCCCAATGGCTACCTGGGGACTCTGGCCAGAGGCCGCAGCTTCTGATCCCCAGGTGCTAGGGGACAGAGAGTTGCTGCCTAGGGGCTGCCCATTGAGCCATCTTGCTGGCCTTGTACGAACAGGATGATGGACTAACTAGGCCTTTGGGCAGAGCCAGCAGAACTCTCCCTGTAGCTGAAACTCTTTGCTGAGTTTCCCTCTCATGATCTTCCGAGGTGGGATGCTGGCAGTCCTAGTTCCATGAGGCTGTGATAGAAGGTTCTAGAATACATCCCCTCTCCCTACCCCGGATCAGCAACACTTGGGGGTAAAAGCCAGGCCCACAATTAGAACCTACTTGACTCTGGAGCCTAGACAATAGAGTGGCTGTCAAAGGACAATTATAGCCTGAGGTGACAGATTTTGAGCTAATTAACAAAATTGATTTCTTTGTGTAAATGTGTTCCCAGAATACATTTGAGTTTTTATAATCGCCCTGCCACACTCATAAGATGTCACTGCATGTATGTCCAGATACCTTTTTTCTATAAGCTTCCTGGGCTTCCCCAATAATTCTTCTGTCTTTTTTCTTACTACAATAGATTCTAGACAGACAGACAGACAGACAGACAGACAGACAGACAGAGGAAACTGCTTCACAATAGCTAGCTAGGAGCTCTGTGTCTGGAAGCACCCAAGGCAACTACTACCAACAAATAAAATTTAAAAAAAAATCTTCCCTTTCACATGGAACAGGGGATGCCTGGATGAAGAGGGGCTTAGCCACTCTGCTAACCCTGGAGTGCTCCTCACCGTATCATATTCCATGGCATTGGAAATGGTGTGCCGGCGTGGCTCCTTCAGGATTCGGATATTCCTGCGTCGCCCAGCTTGGCACAGGGAGCTGTTGATGCTGCGGGACCGAGAGACTCCTTTCCCATCAGATTCTCCTGGTGAGAGAGAGAGAATGGAACACTTAAAATGGCTTCCATGTATTGTATTATGTAATACAATATAATATTAACTGATTGCAACAAACGAAACTTGCATACATGTGCTTTTCATTGGCTGTATTTGCATGTAACATTTGAGGTTAATCATGGATTGTTCCTTTAATCATGCATTTCTTGCAGACCACTGTGTGTTTTTTCTGTTTCTTCTTTCTCTTCTGCCCATTTTGCCCAGCTTTGGAGTAGTTTGTTTTCAGCCTACACTTTCAAGGTGTTTCTTTTTCAGGCTACACAGCTGCACAAACAAACCAGGGATAAACTATGATACTGGGTTCAGATATCACAACAAGCCATGGTTTAAAGAGGGAAGGCTTCTTAAGTCACCATCGAAACACGGCTTCTATTTGCGGTCAACCAAATTTGCGGTCCTTTGTTTCTTTGCAGAGATGTCATGGACATAATAGCATGCTCAATTTTAACAAATCAAACTATGGCTTAGCACTGCAAGCAATAAACCCTCACTTGGGGTCAAACTACATATTACTGTGCTGTAATGTTTGTTTTCATGGAAAGCAGCAGAAGACCAGCAGAAGAGCAGCTGGTGAGGAGAGGTGATCAAAAAACACAGAACAATTTCTCCTCCTTTCCCCTGCCCTGCAGCAGAGGCTGGAAATGTGTCTCCCCACACAAGGGAGCCCCTAAAACAGCCCCATGAGGGGTTTCTGTATGTCGCTAAGAAAGAATGTGGCGGTGAACCATGGAAACAAGACAAGGCAGGAGCTAGTCTTGTCTCCACTCCCTTGGGGGCTTTTCCCAGGTTGCTCAGCCATTTGCCCTTCCTCTCTCTCGTTCTGGGCAGGGAAGGGGCAAATGTCTCCTTCTCTCACTCAGTTCTGCTCTTGCTCTGGATGGCTCAGTGTTGGTGAAAAGTCCCAATAAGCTGGATCTTGCACTACCCCGTAAGAGCTGCTTCCTGCTTGAGCACCTCACCTCACCTGCAAGAGCTGCTGATCTACCTGTTTATTCTCTAAAATTCAAAGGGCAGATGCTGTGGCTTTTAAAGTGTGCTTAGCACAACATGTAGAACCATCCCCTGGAAATACACAGAGAGCCCCAGGACAGAACCGTGATGGGGAACTTGGGTTCAGAGTCCCAGAGCCTCAGAGTTCAGTAGCAGCCACAGCATTTCAGTGCACAAAACTTGAGCCGGGAATGCCTTTCTTGGAAAGGGTCTAAAGCGACATGGCTGCGAAACGATTTCCATGTGCCAGCCTGCCCTGGCTTGAGGCCCTGAAGCAAGGTCTGTGGAAAAAGGGCCAGCCCCACTGCAGCCACTGTGTCTCATTCATGCCCCAATTTCACGTCTTTCCCTCCGCCCCTGTGCCAGTCTCATCCCGACGGCTTTAATGAAAGCCACTAATTGCAGTGACTCATTGATTAACGGAGCCCGGCATGGCTCTAGTCCAGTGGGATTGATTGTCCCACTGATTTCCTGGAGACAGAATTAATGAAGGGCAGGGTGCTCATCACAAAAGCACACGCCGCAGCCAGGGATCCTGCCGCCTCCCCAGCCCGCATTTCTGCCCAGGTCTCGTGTTCCTGTCCTCCAGCTTTCCCCTCACTGTTCTCACTGCAGTGATGCCCCACAAGGGGCAAGGGCAGGGGCAGGGGCAAAATCGGCTGGAGAGACGCTGTGCCTTCATCACTGTGACCAGGCAGAAAAGATGCACCTGGCAGCATTCTCTCCTCTGTGCAGCAATTAGTCGTGGGATCCTGGGTCTTCACTGCATCTGGCCACCCTGCTAACAGAAACCCTGGAGGCCGCGGGGGCCGGGTGGGGAGAAATGATCGGGAATGAGGAACTATGCTGGACTACCATTCCCATCAACCCTTGCCTCTCATTTAAAACTTTTTCATCCCACTCCTCAGCTCAAAAATCTCCCTGAGCAACTCTCGAGCAATCAGGAAAGCAGGACAGTCCCTGGCTGCAGACTTACAATGTAAAAAGGTTCCATGTACAAGGAAAGGCGATCGGGAGGGAAGAGGAAAAAGTGGCCTTTCAGCAGGGCTGGTGGGGTGGACTTGCCTCCCCTCACATCACAAAGCCTCTCCTCTTATTGGCCATGTTGACTGGGGCTGATGGGCATTGTAGTCAACTGCCTCTAGGGGGCCACAGATTTCTCTGCTTGCAATAGTTTTACGACATGATGGATGCATGGGGTGGAGAAAGCAAATAGAGAGGGGTCCCTGCACCCCCAAATCTCATCATGGTGCTGGCCTTCAGGGTCACCCAACGGAAGCAAATCGAGGAGGGCTGGAAGGAAGTCCTCCACCACCCTCAGCGCCGCCCACTTCTGCCGTTTCCCGCCACACGATAGGGTGATGGCTGCTTGATTTGGTGGCTCTGGTAAGCTCAGAGGGGAGAGGACTCAGTGTGACCAGCCATGATGGCTCAAGCTCCCACCTATGGGTAGCCAGCCCATGGGCTTCCCCTGGATACCCCGTGGCTGCTGTGGGATTCCCAAGCAGTGCTGGCCTCGGATTTTGAGGGCCCCTGGGCAAGGCGCCCTCCGCGGGGCACCCCCCGCCCCGTGCCTTGACCTTCTTCCCAGCTGCTGCTGCTCCTTTGCTCACCCTGGCCTCCGCTCACCTGGACAGGCAGAGGGAGGCAAGAGGCAGGTGGCAGCACGGAAGAAGAGGTGCCCGTCTAGCGGGGCTCTTGTCGGTGGACCCCCGGCTAGCGGCTCGCCTGGATGCCAGCCCTGCAGACTGGATGGACCACTGGCCTGATCCAGCTGGGCTTCTCTCATTTCCATAATCCCCTGTCTGTCTGCCCTCTTCTGCAATGCGTATTTGGGAGGGGGAGATCCTTTCTCCAGCCCCCTCGCCTTCCTTTGCCCTTGCCCTAATCCCTTTTGAGCCTTGATCGTTTCTGTGGCCTGCAAGGACCACAGAGACAGACAAGGCGTGGACAATCCCCAAGCCGGTCAGCCATGCTGGGAGCAGCGAGGGGGGGCATGGCGGAGGGTGCAGCCAAAAATCCAGGCCACCCTGCCCACATTTCAGCTGATGCACAAGATCTGCAGTGCACAGGAAGTACCGTGCCAGCTGACGGCCACAGATAAACGGCAGACAATCAGACAATGAAGCGACTCCGGGCCAGCTCAGCAGATGGAGGGATGCCCGTGGCTCAGCGCCAAGCCCTAAAAGCAGGCAGATCTTCTCTCCTCTGCAGAGAGCAGCTGAGGCAGCAGCTGCCAATCAGCATGGGAGCCTTTTGCTCTCAGGGAGCACCCTGTTACCATCCTCGCACTAACTTGCCACTGAAGTCACCCGTCCAAGCAGACTCGCAGTCTTTTCCCTGTTCCTGACCAGACTGGTGACAGAATCTCGGCTTTCAATTCGTAAGGAGGAAATAAAAACTTGGGTCCATGGGAAAGATCAAACGTTTGAACCTCTGCTGCTTTATTGCCCGGAGCCCCAGTACCTGCAGTCAGGAAGGATAATGCATTACCGGGTAGAGGCAAACTCAGCTACAAAATCACAGCCCATGTACAGACACTTTTACAACCTGCTGGTCGCGTACACCAATACAGAGTGTTAAATTTCCAGATAATGTTGGTGCAATAGCATCCTGATGTCTTTAGGCATGACATAATGTTCTAAACTATCAGAAATACTGGCAGCAATAGGATGGAAACCATTACCGGCTGCTGTTTTGATAGGTCAGTCTAGCAAATTCTTGACAGTTCGGGTCAGCCGAGTCGGTCTGCTTAAACATGCCAGTGTGTCCGATGGAGGAGCCCTTCGGGAAGTCTGGTTTGACAAGCACCCTCAGCAGGGGCTTGCCTCTGTTTAGGTGGGCCCATTCAGAAACAAATGAACAGCATTATTTCAGTTTTTCTACAGCTGATAAGAACACAGGTATTTCCTCACTAATAGTGTTAGTGAGGCTTCTCAGTCCAGCTGAGAATGCCATCTTCTTAAGGCAACAGCAATGCTAAGCAGTGACCTGGCTTGGAAAGCTGGTGCTTCGTGAGAAAGAGTTGCAGGTTTGCTTTTCTAACACAAAGGCACATATAAGCAACATTTTTCTGCCAGAATTTATCTCAATTTTTCCAACACTGGTCATAATTTGGGAATTTCCCAAGGGCCACATCAAGTGCAAGAAAGATGCTGCCCATCTGTCCTCACACCCCACAGGTTCACAAGAGAAAGTGACATTTGCCAGAGTAAAAGTGGAGTGTAATGTGTGTGCGGGATTGAGGATGGGGGATCCCGCAGGCCGGGTCTCCTCTGCACCCAGACAGAGAAATCTCTGAGCACTGCTCAGCGGCTGCCTGATCGAGCTAAGAGACTTCCCTGCTCCCTGCACCCTGCTGCATTTTGCCTGCGGTGGAAGCCCAGCTGAGGCGCGGGAGGGCAGGGTCACTGGTGGGTAGAGAAAAGCTAATCCCATCTTCCCCAGTGCTGAAATCGCCCTGCATGGAGAGCATTAAGTTGGGGGAGTTTGCTATTTTTTCTTTTTCTTTTTACCAGCAGTGTGTAGAGCTGGCAGTGATGGTCAAGAAATCTCCAGGCATTATTCACCCTTCCGGCTAATAGCCAAACAGCCCAGTCTGCACGCTTCATATACCATGTGGTTGTTGCCACGAGCAACTTTGCTATACCCACTGCATGAAAAACAGAGATCATGTGACTTGCCCAGGGTGTGTAGGCACAGTCCGTTCCACGGGGGCCCCACAGAGGGGGGGTGGTTAGGAGGCATCTTGCGATCTCACCCCAAATAACATGGAGCCACTCCTGTTCCCGGGACACATCACCCTGAATTAAGTAAACAATCCCACCCATTATGACAAGATGGGCCTGCCAAAATCCTCTCTTGTGTGCAACTTTTAAAGGCAGACAGGAACCCGAAAGCTTCCTCTGCAAATAGTGCCCCCCCCCAAGCTTTGCACTTTCCCAGATTTAATATTTCAGTCAGCTTGCCAGCTTTCTCC